TGCCGCCACCCTCCGCCTCTCCTCGAAGGGCATCGTCACCACGTCGCACTGATGGCGTCACGCCGGTGGCGAAAGGGTGGCGCGGCCGGAGGGGAAGAAGGAGGGGCGATATGAAATCCCGCGTGATATCAACGCCTGCCTTGGCCTGCCTACCCGGCTCGGCGTGCCAGCGACACGGCGCCGCGTCGCCGTCGCCCTCCCCCCTCTCTATCGCACACCCTTTACATACCGCCCCTCGGACCACCACAACAAAGCGAACGGTTTTGCCGGGTGCCACTGGCCCAGGCAGACAGACAGACAGACGTATTGCGGCTGCACCGCGGATCGCCTCTGTCGTGCTGCTGCGTGGTGGCTGCCTGGCTGCTGCAGGGTTTCAAAGTGCGGGGCTGTTTGGCGTGTCGCGTCGCCGCGTCGCCGTCCGACAAGGCATTCCTTTATCCCCGGCCCGGCCCCGGCAGCAGCAGCAGCCCCAGCTTGCGCGAGGCGTGGCGTGGCGTGGGCGGTCTCATCTCCTTCAATATTGATGTTTCCCGCGCTCATTCTTTCACGTTTTCATTTTCTCCTTACTTTGTTCTGCCCTGCCCCCTCTCGCGAAATTGCTTCAGGGAATTTCCATGGGCCCCGTCAAACGCCCCCTGCTCCGCGCCCCGCCCCTCCCCACCGACATATACACTGCGTCCGCGCCGCGCCACGCTCCACTACGCTATGCTGCGCTACCAACACAACAACAACGACTGGCGAATTAATTTCTCCGGTCCATTCTAAAAACGAACGCCAGTGCTACCAAGCCGACGCCCCGACGCCAACCCCGCGCCGCCCCGCGCGCAGCGCAGCGCGAAGCCGCGGCGAGGGCGTGGCACGGCGGCAGCCCCGCGGGAGTAGAATTCGTTAATGTGCTCTCACTCCTCCAGTCAGCGCCGCGCGCGCTGCGCCAATGCTGACAAAACGTGCGCGCGCACCCACACTGACGCACACGCCCACTCACACGGACACGCACCACGACAGACGCACCGCGCGGTGTAAATTAAAAATAACGAGACGAAAAGCGACAAAAGTGGCGTGCGGCCCGTGCGGGGGAGCGAGGCCGCACAGTGGGCCAGAAGACCGGTGGAGGCGGCCAAAACTCTAGACGCGTTTTGAGCTCCAGAGTCACTAAACAGGACTCGAATCGAACGTCTGACCCCACCAATGGATTCCTCGCTCGGAGAGCAATCCATTGGTGGGGTCACACGTTCAGTTCTAGTCCCATTCAGCGACTCTGGAGCCCAAAACGCGTCTAGAGTTTTGGCCGCCCCCACCGGTCTTCTGGCCCACTGTGGGCCGTGAGGGCATGGCCCGGCATGGCCCGGCATGGCCCGGCGCGGCGTGACCAATGTGGAGAAACTTTCTAGGGCCGCGTCGGAAGCACTTTAATATTTCAGGGCTGTGCCGAGCCGGGATTCAGCCTCTACTTTCCATCCGCCGTGCCGCCGAGCCGCGCAAAAACATTCCCCCTCCGCTGCTGCAGCCGCCATGCTGCCTCGCTGCCGTGCCGCCCTGCACCGCCCTGCACCAGCCGCGCTGCAGGCTGACTATCAAACTAACTGCGCCAAATCATTTCAAGTAATTGCATCAACTGGCCGGCTGCCAGCAAAGGGTAGGACGGGGGGGGGGGGGGGGGGGGGGGGCTGGACGAGGCGGGAATGCACGGCATGCCCGTCATGCCCATGTCACGCAAGGCGGCGCAAGGCGGCCCGTCCCAGCGTGTTCTTTGTCCCCACGTCCCCGGGCGACCCAGGCCTTGTGCCGCGTGCGTGCGCGTGCGTGTGTGTGCGTGCGTGTGCGTGCACGCTCGCCATTCCCCAGCGTGTCTTTGGGGCGTCCAAAGTCCGCGGCGCGTACCTGCGTCCTACGTTCTGCGCTCTGCGCTGTGCGTCCCTGGGGCGCCTCGACGAAGCGTCGGCGCAGCTCGGCGCAGCCTCGCCCTGCCATTTTTCCAGGTTCGCAGCACCGCGCGGGCGGCGCGCGGCGCGCCGTTGTGTGTGCAAGCAAAACAAACGTCCCGCTGCAAGCTTTCTCTGCGGCGGCCAACGCACGGCCGCAGGGCCGCACGGCGGCAGCATTTTCCATTTATGGTCGGATTACAAAGGGCTTGCATTTTCGTGGCCGTTGTGTGGCGCTTTTGTGCGCGTTGCCGGAAAGGAAAGGAGGACTTGGCCTGATCCGTCTGCGCAGTACCAAGGATCCGTCAGTCAGGCGGCAGACGGGGCGACCGGCCCCAGGGCCCCGGCCCGGCGTCTTTATGGAGCGAGCTCTGATAGAATTCCCCGACCAAGCGCGAGAGTTTTCGACGATTTCGGCTCCACGGCGCCGGGCGGGTACTGCGGTGGCCTGCAAGCGAGTTGCCGCGACGCTGGGACGCCGGCCGGGTGGTGAGGCGATCCCGCTGCTCGCCCACAAGGCCGACAAGGCCCACAAGGCCGACAAGGCCCACAAGGCCCTGGTGCCTCCAGGGTTCCGTTCCACTTCCGCGTCGGCCTCTCCGCCTCGCCTCGCGGTGATCTAGGATCCCCGAGGTCCGTGCACGGCGGTGCGACCTTACTGTGACCCCGTCCCGTGACGTCGGCCGCGACGGGGCCGCGACGGTGTGACTGCAACTGATTGTTTGGCCGTGGACGCGGGACGCGGGACGCGCGGAGCCCCGGGGGCCCCAATGGGCCGGTCCCATTCGCTTCCATTCGGATCGTTGAGGAGAAGGCGGAGTCAATTGCCCACTTAACCCCACGGCGAGGCAGGCGAGGCAGGCGAGGCAGGCGAGGCAGCCCAGCTGCGGCCCAGCGGCTGCGCGGCGGCCGAGCTGCGTCCGCGTCCACGGGGCCTGGCTGCGCCTGGCGCGGGGCGAAGCGGCGAAGCCAAGGGACTCCACGCTCTGTCTCTCTCGCACCCACGGGGCGGCAAGGCGGCGGAGACGGAAGCGTCGTTCGGAATCGACCTGCGGAGCACCACGACGAGAGTCTGTCACGCCGCGGTGCCCCGCCGAACGATCCCCGAGAACCGCTACCTCTTCGCTCCTCCCTCACACCCCCACGAGACGCCCCACCAGTGTGACACAGACAGGGCGACGAAACAGTTCGCCGAGCGCTGCGGAGCACAGCGCGGAACCAACGGGCCCCGAGAATGTCGTGCGGGCTACCGACCTACCCTGTGTTGTGTGCCCCGACCCGGCCCGAGTACCCCCGCGCCCCGCCGCCGCCGCCACGGCCTCCGCACACAACACCTCCCTGACGGCCCCCAATCCCCGCCGAGCCTGCGCCGCCTGTGCCGCTGCGCCCTGCCTTGTGTACAGTCGAGTAATTTGAGGTATGCAGGCCCAAGCCCTCGGCCCCAGCGGCCCCGCCGCTCCCAGGGCGTTCCAGCTGCTCCAGCGCTAGCGGGGCCGCCTGTCCGCCGCCGAGCCGTCGTCCCGTAGGACTGGCAGGGCCTGCTTCGCCTCGCCGCGACATTCCTTGGCGGCTCCACGCTGCCAATTTCATGTTCCTGGGGTACATTACGTCACGGTGCCGTCCCTTTTTCTGGGCTTCATTTTTCTCTCCTCCTCCCCCGGAGTGGCTGCGCCCGGGGCGCCCCGCCACGCCGGTACCTGCAGCAGGTTGACGGCCTTGACGGCCTTGACGGCCCTGATGGAGAGGGGAGCCGAGAGGGCTCGTGCGGCGCGGCGCCCGCCTTGCCGCCGCTGCCGCCGCCTTACCGCCCGCCTTGATGGCGGTGCCATTTCGGGAATTCGCGGTCATATTTCGCGCGCCTGCAGGCTGGCAAGTCGGGCGGGAGAGTCGGTCGGTTAGGTGTGTCAGGAGGGAAGGCGAGCCGGGCGGGAGAGTCTGGGAAGGAGAGCCGCGGACGGAAATCCGGGCCGGCGCTGCTCGCGTCCCCGGGGAGCACGGCGAGCAAGGGGTGGAGACGTATGCTCGCTGCCAAACGCCGCCCCGCCTGACACCGGCAGCGACCGACGAAGCAAACGGGTGTCCATTCCGTCTCTGTCAGTCCGCCGCGGTGGTGGCGGTTGTCGGTGTGTCCGCTCACACCGCAGCCCCGCGCCACGTAAATAATGAACAGACGACTCTTGCTCGTCCAAAAGAGCGCCGCGACACAACTCGCTTTACTTGGGTGCCACTTAGAATTCACGCGGCAACTTTCTCCCCGGCGGCCGGCCACCCCGCGTGTTGCGGTGGGACCGGCATGGCAGGACCGGGGCGAACTACCACCCTGCTAGCGCCGCGGCCCGCTCGCTACCCGCGGCGCAAAATAATGAATAATTCGCCCAGGTCGGTGCCACTCACTAATTAAAAAGCGCGCCATGTTTGCGGACTCGGAACAGGTCGGCTTTCGCCGCGCCTTCCATCAGCTTGGTGGCTCGACCGGGACGGCCCCTGCATCCATGTGGCCGAACACTCACCCTCACACTAGCTCCGCCTCAGACCTTTCTTTCCCGAGTCTCGTTAAGGCAGACCCGGGCGGAGGCAGGCTGGATGGAGGAACTGGAAGCGAGGGATGCACCACGGGGGAATTCCCTCGACAGCTGACTGCGCGGGGGCGGCCGGGGACCGCACAGGCAGACAGACAGTCAGACTGACAGACAGTCAGACTGACAGACAGTCGGACGCACTCACACTGACGCGCGCGGCGCACGACGACACCGCGGCCCGGGAAAAAATCAGACTCGGCTGGAATTTGCATGGTGGCGTGGCTGGCGTGGTGTCGCCGAGGGGGCGGCCTTCCCTCGGCCCTTCCCTCCCGGTGCCGCCTCGCGCTCGCCCGGGCTGCTGGCTAATGCTAATCATCAAAAGAACTCGAAAGAGTTCCCTTCGCCGACGACGGCCTGCCGGTCCCTGGCCGGCCACCCCTGGCCCTGGCCTGGCCCTGCCGTCAAGGGCCGGTTTCTTGTATTTCGCCGCTACGAAGTACTCGCCACGCCGGTGCGTGTCAAGTGCACTCGGGCCGGAAGCAGTTCGGCGTCGACTCACCTGTCAGAGGCGATCTGCAGCCGCAGGCCCTGCAGGGTGTGGCGGCCGGTGGCGGCCTAAACCGAAGTGCCGGTGCACGCGTGGCGCGCCGGTCCGCGGGGACACTCAAACACACACCGCGACGCACTGACAGCGGCGACAGCACGACACTGCTTCACGGAGGGAGTGACACCATGGCGACGCACGATCCACTAGACGCACGGCGCGGCGAGGCGCGGCGACGAGGCGCGACGCGCGTCGAGACGGACGAGGGCGTCGCGGAGCCGAACAAGGACGACGTCGGCTAGGCCGGCCGGGACGGGACACCCTGTCGGGACCGAAGCGGGGCGCGGACTGAGCCGGGCCGCGGCCGCAGCGGCGCCGCGCCGCGCCCGTGACGCACCGCCACCCCCGCCGCCCCCGCCCCGCGCCACGCCCGACCCACCCCGCCAGCCACCCCCCGCCCCGCCGCGCCCCGGTGCAGGGCCCTTGGTGCAGGAATTCGGACCCGTTCGGGCCGTTCCAGCGCAGACCGCCGAATGTTTTCCCCCTGCTAATGTCCTGTTTTGAATGCCGGACCGCTGTGTGTATCGATGCGGGTATACCAACACTTTGCCAAAAATTTAAGGAAGTATCGGGACTCGATCTCCTGATCCGTGGGTCAGATTCAGTCGCCTTTACGCTCTCGGGCCGGTAACTGACGCTTTGAACGGCTTCAGGAGAGCCACTGGCAGTCCAGGCCGGCGCCTTGCTTGGTCTTGATGAGCTGGGCGTTATTCTTGTCACTCGGAGCAGTGAACGGAGTCTAGCCGGCGGGCTGGGCCGGCGGCGTGCCCTGGCCGTGCCGCGTGCCGGACTGCCTGGCCTCGCCCTCAGCCGCCAGCCTTCAACCTTTCAGCCCTTCGCCGCTTGGTGCCGTTGGCCCGCGGAAAGGCAACGGTAAAGTTGTTGATCGAACTCGCGCTCGCAGCGAGTAAATATTGGGCTTCCAGACTACATCCCTCTCGTTTTGTGACGGAAGGGGCAAACAGCGGGCAGACGGACGGACAGACGGACAGATGGACAGACGGACGGACAGACAGCAGAGAGACGACAGACAGACAGACAGACAGACAGACAGACAGACAGACAGACAGACAGACAGACAGACAGACAGACAGACAGACAGATAGACAGACAGACAGACAGACAGACAGACAGACAGCAGACAGACAGAAAGACGCCGCATACGGTTTTTGCTTCGCCGTATACGGTTTTCGCTTTGCCGTATACGGTTTTCGCTGCGGTCCTGTGACCTCAGAGCCTCCCCTCCCCTCCCTTCCCCAGAGAGGGCAGAGCAGCAGTTCTGTCGGAAAATTGAGGGCATGTTTTTCTCGCGCGTCGTCTGCTCCGGGGCGAGAAAGACAGAGTCCGGCCCCACGCAGGCGGCAGGCGTCGAGAAAAAGGGGGGCAGGCGGTGTCGCGTGAGGCTAAGCCCCTCCACTGTTTGCCGCGCGATACACGCTAACGAGGCGTCCTGAACGTTATCAGCCTTATCAGCGTGGTCGCGCTGCCTCCCTCGCGCCGCGACGGCACGGCCCGCGAGTGCGAGCGAGGCGGCGCCGCGACGGCCCTGCTCGGAGGCAGCCCGGCCCAGCCCAACCCGCCCAGCCTCCATCGGCACATCCTGAGCACATCTCGGCGGGGCGTGCTCGGAGCGCTCGGAGTCGAGGTGCGCAGCGCGGCGCAGCGCGTGTGGCGTCGCGACGCTCCTCTTATCTCGGCAGCGACGCCACGACGCGTATTTGCACAGCCATGGGCACAGCCCCCGCCAGTTTGCATTTTCTATTGTTGGCGCGCGCGCCTCCAAAAAAAAAGCCTTGTCTGCTTTAAAGATATTAACGTTATCATTTTAGCTAAAATGGTTCACTTCTAATTTTTGACTGAAATGAACTGCGCATCGCAAATAAAATCAAAACCATACAAAGAAAATTTCAGCGAAAGAGGGCACCCCGGCGAACCGGCCCTCTTCCCTGCGGGGGTGGTGCCCACCAGACAGTTCCCCCATCTCACCACAGGAGCAGCCTCGGTGGTGTTGTGTTTCCCGGTCATCGGCCACGTCATCTGGGTGTGGAGGAGTCCTCTCATAGTAGGCCAGGCTGCCACCTTTCCCAGTAGTCGGGATTCGATGCCCGGCCCCCTTCCCACTCAGGGGCCATACTACTGGTACTCAGGAGTCTGCGTCACCCTGCCCAGCAGCGGAACCACTGGGCTATGAGAGGCACGCTGGACGCCGGCCGATTTTGTATACTTGAACCGCCTTCGCGCGATTCAAAGCATGGTAAAAACATTCGGGACCGGACGGGTATCGAACCGCGGACCCCAGTGTCAGAACCCGACGACTCTCTGCTCTCGGCCACCGCGGCTCATATTCAGCAGACAGGGAAACGAAGTGCTTGAAGCCACAGGCTTGAGACGCAATGGTAGAGCCAGTCAAAATGTGTGCCTGTTGGGATTCGATCCGCTGACCTGTGCGTCGAATACAGACGCCTTTCCGCGCTCGCCCACCATGGCCTATGGACTTTGCCGGGTGAGACAACGTGTTGATTTCTGCAACCACTTCTCGACCGCCTTGCTCCCCGTGACCAACATTTTTCCTTCTCGTTGTTTCGAGTGCGATCCGACTCGCCTGCCGCGGCTGGACCGCGGCTGGACCGGGCCCGATGGCTGCTCGGTACCGTAATCGAAGGCTGTTGCGTACGGTGCGCGGCGTGCGCGGTGCGTTGGACGGGTTGGCCGGACGCCCCGACGTGCGGCCTTCCTATTTGCATAACTGATGACTCACTTGTCTGACCCCTCCCCTCCCCCCTCCCCTCCCCACCCCCGTTACACATCCGACGCGGCACCCCTTCCTGCCCTCGCTGCAGCCCCACGGCCCCACGGCCCTGCGAGGGCTCTGCGGGGGCCCCGATGGGGGCACCGATCAAAAACACAATTGCTGTCGAGCCCAACGGCATGAGGGGACAATTTATGAGGCCGGCGGGGGTAAGGTCATATGGAAGATAGGTCTGCGCAACCGAGATGCATGCTGGGAGACCGGGCAAGCCGGCAGGCAGGCTGGCAGGCAGGTAGGCGGTCCTCCGCTGCGGCCGGCGACGGATTCGGGAGGGATTAGCTGCCCGGTCTCCCAGCATGCATCTCGGTTGCGCAGACCTATCTTCCATATGACCTTAGGCGGGGGTGGGCGGTGCGGGCGGCCTCCGGATCGGGAGAGGCTGCCTGCGGATGCATCTCTTGTCAAAACCCTTCGCGACCGCCATGGGTGGTGGCCGCCGTGGTGGCTGCGGTGGTGGCCGCCATCATTACCCCGTCATTATCATTAATCATAGCCTTCATTCGGCCGGCCGACCCGGAAGGGCTGAAAGGGCCGAGAGGGCCGAAGGCCGCCGCGCTGCAAACTCGCCGAGACAGATTTCACCAACTACTCCAGCCAGGGGCAGTCTGGGGCAGCCAGGGGCAGCTAGGGGTCGCCCCCACCCCCTCCCCTCCCTGCCTGACGTCTCGACGAGAGAAAAAAGGCGAAAAGAAAAAGTCCAGGGGCAATTTTCTCCTCTCTTCAGCCAGCAAAGGAGAGTTTTCCCCGCGGAGCTGATTCAGCCGGCCAAGTGCGCGTTGGAAAGGTGCGTGCGCGAAGGCGGTGTGTGTGTGTGTGTGTGTGTGTGTGTGTGTGTGTGTGCGCGTGTGTGTGTGTGTGTGTGTGTGTGTGCGTGCGTGTGTGTGTGTGTGTGTGTGTGTGCGTGCGCGCGCGCGTGAGGGGTGGAGCGAGAGGGGGCAATATGGGTGCTCTGGTGTGTGTGTGTGTGTGTGTGCGCGCGTGCGTGAGTGTGTGTGTGGATGGGTGCTTGTGCGAGTGCGTGTGTGTGTGTGGGCGCACGCGCGTGAGGTCCGCCCATCCCCGAAACATCCCAAACGGCCCACCGAAAGCCTCCAATGGTGTTAGGCCAGACCCTAACGACTGTATACAGGCCGTGCGAGGCCGGCCGGCCGCGGCGCGGCCGTGAGGCAGCCATGAGGCAGCCATGAGGCAGGCCGCAGCGCTGGCCATGCAGTCAGCACTTCGCGAGCGATGGGGCGGCCCGGCGGCCGGCGGGCCTCGTGTCACTTCCAAACATCAACAACCTCTCCAAAGGAAGGGCCGAAATAAAAAGAGAGGCGGAAAGGAACAAGCCTCCCCCTCCTCGTCGATTACCATTCCGTCGATCGTTTCCCAATTTGCAATTCTATATTGTATTTTTGCGCTGTCCGAACCTGCTTGAAGGGTAGCGAATAATGTATCCCATTGGGTCTCCCTTCCCCTAGTGTCAAAACAATCCTAAACAAACTGCGGTGCCGTAAATACACCGCCCCGCCCCGCGAGCTCGTGCCGCCATTGGCCACCACGTGGAAGTACAGTGCGAGAAGGAAGCTCGAGGCTTGACCCACGGATTCCACCAACACTCGCCTCTGTTTCAGCGCAGCACAGGTTTTTGCGCACGCGCGCCCCGCGCACCAATTCACACGCGCGCACGAACCTCGAGCCTACACTGGGATTCGGAACGGAGTCCCAGCGTGTGCCTGGTGCCGCCGGTCGCTGCTGCGCAGGCATCTCGCCGTCTCTCTCGCTCTCGGCCGTTCAGGTGGGCCATTATTCATCGCGTCATAGGGAAGGCCCAACTTCGTTCCGGATCACGCCCTGCCATTCCGACCAGGGGATGTGCCGGCTGAATTCGCAATGTGAGACCGAAACTGGCACTATAGAGGACGGGCAGCGTGTACGACAGGACGGTCGCCGCGTCGCCGCGTCCCCGGCGTGGCAGCAGTCGGGATTTCTATTCGGCAGCTTGGCCGAGAAAGACAAGACAGCCGCGCGTCGAGGCGTCGAGGCTCCAGCGAAGATCAATTTAATCAAGCCGAGCTGCAGAGTCGCAGACGCGTCCCCCCCGCTGCGTGCTGCGTCCCTCTGCCTCTGCCGTCGCCTCCTTGCCGCATCGACATCCACCCCGCATCATCAGCCCGTCAGAACGTCAGAACGTCAGAGTAATGGATTCGCCAGACCCAGCCGAGCCGCGAGCGGCGGCAGCCACACTCACGGTGGAGCGCGTTGGGTTGCCTACGCCGTGGGCGCCCCGCCCCGTTCCGCTCCGAGCGAGCGGCCGCGTCCCGTCCCGAGCCGTCCCGTCCCCGACAGCCACAGCGGCCACAGCGGCCACAGCCACGTCGCGAGACTTATTACGCTACACTGCCAGTTTCTTCCTGATCGCTCTTAATTACCCGGCGGCTGCTCGAAAAGCGGAGCAATGTAACGAGCGGCGCGGCGGCGGCAATGACCAATCGGAGGCAGGGCCGGCAGGGCCGGCAGGGCGACGCGATAAATCATTTCGTGTTTGGCAACAGCGGAACGCGTGTTTTGGAAACTCGCCCGATTCCGTGTGTCGCGTGTGGTGCAGCGGCCCGGGGCGGGGCGGGGCGGGGCGACCCCGTTGCCCCGCGGCGGCCGTTTCCAAGCCCAATTATCGCTAATGGGTGTCCACCCCATGTGCCAATCGCCGCCAGTCCGCCAGTCCGCTCGGCCGCCGTCGCGGTCTTCGTTCGCCTGCCTCGGCTCGCGGCGCATGCACTCGAGCGAACGGGCTTGGAGGAGGCCAGGACGGACTCGACGAGAAACGCAGCGGCGTGGCGGCGCGGCCAGGGGCCTGGCCCACTGCGACCCGGCTCGCCGTACACAAAGGTGTCGCGCCAAGTTGCCCGTGCGGGACGCTCCGCTGGCTGTTTGTAGTTATTGTTTGCTTCTCGTGGGCTTTTCTCTTTCTTTGTTTTCGTGTGAAGCGGCGCGGCAAGGCGGCAAGGCGGTGGCGGGAGCGAGGTGGGTCAGGTCGCGGGGCTTCCGGTGATGCGCGGCGCGGCGCAGGCCTTCTAGTGTCGCGTCGCCTCGCGCCGCCAGACTCGCGAAACCCCGAAAAACAATCCGGTAGTGCAGTCCTGCCGCGCCGACCCGCCCGCGGCCCCGTCCTGCTGCCGTGTCGATAGACACGCCACTCCACTCCAGCCCCGCCCCGCCCCGCCCCGCGGACTCGGCGTGCACTTCCCCGTCCGCGCTGTCGGCGCTGTCTGCGCGGCATCACCTCCTCTTTCCCCCAGAAAAACGGTGCCGAGCTCGGCGTGCCTTGATTCGCCTTTTGAGAGCGGCTGTGCCAGGCTGTGCCCTCGGCCAGACGGCGGCCCGGGCAGCCTGGTGCCGCCACGCTACGGCCGCCACGCCAACTCCAGCTTACTCCAGCTGGAGCTTGTACGGCGCTACGCCGCGCTACGCCGCGTCGCGGCTGCAGCAGTGGCGGGGGCTTAGCAAGCAACAGCTGTGCCGAGAGTCCGCGCTGCCCCTCCGCGCGCCGCTTGCCCCGCGCCGCCGCGCCCCGCCGCGCCCCGCCGCGCCCCGCCCTGCCCATCCCGTTGCTGGTTCGGCCCGTGGGCTTGGATGCCTCTAGTCGACCCGCCTCGACCCGTGCCGACCGCCAGCACCGCCAGCACCGCCAGGCAGCAGGCGGCTCCAGCGCTGCAGACGGCAGACCCGTCCGAGCCGTCGACGGCGGCACTTCGACGCCGGCACCGAGCCCCGCGGCCCCTCAGCGGTTGGAGCACGCCGTCGTCCGTCCTGCCCCGCAGTGCGTCTACGTGAGGCGTTCTGCCTACAGTACCGCGCCGTGCCGTCGCGTGCCGTCGCGTGCCGCGCCCGCCGCGTCGCGACATGAATTGAGGCGCGGGGGACCGCCGTCTCGTCGAGGAGCGAGGAGCCCAGCGCTCGCGGTGCCGCGGCGTGCCGTCGACCACCTATGGGGGGGCCAGGAAGCACCGCCCCGGCCACGGCGAGGACCACGACGACGCCCCTCCCGGACGACGACGGAGCGGGTGTCTCCGTGAACTCGACGGCCACGTCCTTCTCGGCGAGCGGCCCTCGATAGCCGGCGTAAGTAGACCAGGGACGCGGCGAGCTGCTCGGCGTGCCGGGCGTGCCCCGGTGCCGTTGTCTCCCCTCCCCTCCCCTACCCTGCCCTGCCCTCCCCCCGCGGCCAGTTTTGCACGGCCGTGTCGAAACTCGGTTCGGGATGGGGCCGATGGGGCCGGCGCGCTGACAGGAGCAAGCCACGGCAAGCAGGAGCGAAGCTCTTCTTATTTCGTCAAGTTCTCGATTTCCGCGTACGCCGCGTACGCGAGTGGCTGGCGGTCGGCGACGGCGCTGCCTGCCGCCGCTCTTTTTCTTGTTGTGTTTGTTTTTACGTTTCTTGCAAGTCGGCCTAACGGTGACGTGTAACGACCCAGTCTGGGCAAATATACTGGAGAGATAGCGACCTTAAAAAGAACACAACTCCTCATCCGCGCACTCACACACTGATAATGAATGGAAATTCCCCGTCCACGCCTTCCACCGCCGCCCATCCGCTGTGCTGCTTTTCCGCGTTGCGGCCTGGCCCCTCTTTTTGGCAGTGGGCGTCCATGCCCCGTGTGCCCCTCTGCTGGTGCTGCTGCTGCGCATGTTCTGGCCTCGCCTTTCCCCGCCGGCCTGGTCGCCGCCACGCCGCCACACAAGGAGACCCCCGAGGGGCAACCTTTAGCCGCTTGCGTCGCTCTGCGTCGCTGTGCCCGGTGTAATTCCGTGTGCCAAATTCCCGGTAATCACGGCACAACCACTGCCCTCGCGCTCGCGGCTCTTGCTCTTCGGCGACCGTTCCCTCGGCTCGTTCCTCTAGAGAGCTCCCCGCGCGCCGCGCCATTCAGGGCTTTATGGGAAAACGAGGACTTTGTGGCCCGTCCCGATTGTCGCCGGAGCTCCGCAGAGAAGCGCGCGTAAAACTAGTTCTTTACTCCGCTCTGCCAGAGCGGCCACCTTTCCGCATCCCCCCCCTCCTCCCCAATTGCTTTGTCATCCAATTCAGCTGCAGGGCGCCATTACGCCATAGGAACGATGTGCGTCTATGTCAGCGCGCCTGCCAGCCCTGCCTGCCCGCCGGCCGCCCGGCTGCTCGGCCTGCTCGCCTCCTGCTCAATAATTTGGTGTGGCGGGTGTGGCGCCATGCGAGAAGGCTCGGCCGAGCCGGGCCGGGCCGGCCGCGCCCCGCGCCTCGCCAGGGGCGACTGATTCCGAGAGTCGTTTTCGATGCCCCGCTCTGTCTCTTTCACACCTTCAAAGGGGCGCACGATGAGTGCGAGAGAGACTCTTGGAATCAGTCTGCAGGCCGGCGTGCAGTTTGCAGTGCAGGGGCAGCCAGGGGCCGCCTTGGTTGACTACGGCCCATCCGCGAGCCGCCGGCGATGACGCGGAGCGCGGAGCCGTGACCCGCTGGGATCGATCCCGAGCCGAACCGCCCGAACGCCGTGGCGTGGCGTCATGACATCGACATCGGCCATAACTTTTGGAAGACAGTGCCGCTCGACGCTCGCGCTGGCGCACTGCTAGCGCAGGCGCGCCCGAGGCCCGAGGGCTGGACAAGGTCATAAACCCGGAGTTACATCAGCTGCGCGGCGAGGAGTCGAGTCGTCGCGCCCAGGTATCATTTTTACACGGTTCTCTTCGAGCTTTGCGCTGCGGACGCATGTCGCCGGCACGAAAGCTGTCAGGATTTCGACCGGTCGGCTTGCTCGTACGGGACCGGCAGGACTGTCGCTCTGTCTCATTCACTCCCCTCCGAAACGGCCAAAGTGCGGGAGAGACAGCGACGAAAGCAGTGTTCGGAATGAACCTGCAGGCAGGACCAGGGAAGCCCACCGCGGCCGTCACTAGAGCGCGGAGGAAAGTCCATTCTCCGGCCTTACTGCAGCCGGCCCGGAGGCGGAGGGCACTGGACTGCATCTGACTAGCAGGGCGGGGCGGCGGGGCGGCGAGCGAGTTTCGCCAGACTGGCGGAGAGCGCGGAAAGCGCGGACGGCGCGCAGCGCAGCGCTCGGGCGGCCGGCCGGGCTCCCTCTGGTAAGACCGCGGCAGCCAGGCAGCCAGAAACCGTGGTTGTGTACATCAAGACGTCGCAGCCAGTCGCAGCCAGTGTCTTATCCGTCCCCCGGCCCACCCCGCCCACCCCGCCCGCCGCGCGACTGGCCCGTCAGATCGACGGCACGGATCTGAGAGGCACTGAGAGGTGGAGCCGCGCAGCCTGGCGCAGCCGCGCTGTGTCGTGTTTGGTTGTGTCACGCCGCGGTGCCGCGCCGCCGCGCAGCCGCGGTGTCGGTGTTTGTGGGAAACGCGCTAAACCGCCGCTGACGCTACTGTGTTGCAGCGCGTGCCCTCAGCCCGCAGCCCGCCCGGACAGGGACCTCCGCGACCACGATGGCGCCGATACTGAAGAAGGGGCTCTTCTGCTGCCTCAGCCTGCGCACCTGCGCCCTCATCCTGGGCACCATCACCTTGGTGAGTCGAGATCGAGTTATGCCTGCCTTCTGCTCTTCAAGACCGTCTTCGAGACTGTGCTCAAGACCAGGCTGCCGTGCCTGTTGCCCGCTGAGTTATCTCCCGGGCGCCCTGATCTTTATTTGAAGCTCCTCCCCCTTCCACTCCTCCGCTCTTGTCTGTCTCTGTCACCTCTCTGCTGGTTCCAATGCGCCTCTCGTTTCGCAGGCGTTCAACTTGCTGACGCTGTCCATGTTCATCGTCAGCCTGGACATGTGGCTGAGCGAGAGCGAGTACCACCACTGGAACCACACGGCGGACCACCTCGACGGCCACCTGCTGGACGTCCACGGCGTCCACGACGTCCACCAGGACGGGCTGCTGCCGATGCCGGGCCTCGTCAACAAGTCGGCGTGGTGGCCCGGCCATCCCGAGGGCCATCCTGGCCACGCCGGGGCGGCCCTCGGGGCGGCCGAAGAGGAGGAACCCGAGGAGTACGATGGCTTTGAAGACTCCGAGGCCATGGAGGAGCTCCTGGAGAGAAACCCACACCGTGAGTAGAGCGAGAGGTTGCGAGCGGAGGATGCGCGCCGCGCCTGACCTGGTGGCCTCCAGGCGGGCCGGGCCGGGCAGTGGTCGCGGCGCGCAGTCGGCGTAGCGCAGCGTAGCGTGCCTTTTAGCGTGCCTTTAGCGTGTGCTGCAGCGGGACGGGACGGGACGGGACGGCACGACCGGGACGAGTTGTTGCCCCTTTCAAGTGTACCCGGCCCGGCCCGCTCGCGCTGCTCACGTGAGGGTCATTTCGCCTCATGGCAGCATGGCAGCCCATGGCATGTCAACGCAGTACAATGCAGCCTGTCATGGGTCGAGCCGGCGGCGGGCCCATGGCGGGCCCATGGCGGGCCGGGAGCGCTGTCATGGAGTGTGGCGGCTGTCGGGCCGTCCTGTCACGCGGACGCGCGCGGACGCCAAGGAGATGCCCCTGCAGACTGATTCAGAGCACTGCTGTTGTCGCTCCGTCCCTGTCACACCCAAGGGGCTCTCCGTGAGTGGGAGAGAGACGGAGCGACGAAGCGCTGCTCGGAATGAGACTGCGTACTGCGTGTGCTGCCGAAGCGACCCGTGACGCGGCCGAGCCGAGTGGCGGGGTGGGGTCCACTGGGATCCCCTACGCTTTGCTCCCGATTCACCACTCCCTCGCTCTCTCTCTCCGTTTCAGTGGCGCTGGCGCTGGTGTGGTTCGACTTCGTGCTCGTGATCCTGGAGACGGTGGCCGTCGTCCTGCTCATCTGGGGCGCCGCAAAGGTAACGGTGGCAAACTTCCCCCGCGCCGCCGACGCCTCCTCCCTGCAATGGCCAGACTCCCCCCGTGTGCCCTCGGCCCTCGGGGCGTAAACGAAGCCTCTCCTCCTCTGACAGTGGAGGCTCGGTTTTCCCCGTTCGCTCGACCCGCGGTTCGAGCACTCAAGCGGCTGTCTCGACAGGCAAATTGGGTGGCAAAGCCAAGTCAGTTTGATCGCGCAGCGGTGCGGAAACGCCGCGGCGTCATGCCGCGCGGCAGGACGTCAGCGCCGCCGCGTCCAGGCCCGCGTCGAGGCCCTCGTCCGCGAGACGGGCAGCGGAGCGTCCTCAATCAATCATGTAGGTCATTAGCTCCGCATCGCGGTAGGCCGGTAGGCCGGTACCGCAGTGGGCCGGGCACGGCGCTCGGCGCACGGCTTACACGGCGCCGCACCCAAGTGCACGAGCACTGCTGGCTGGAGCGACTGGAGTCTGCTGGCGGCTGGCGCTGCTCTTCCCCCTCCCCCACCCGGTCGGCCAGGTCGGCCAGGTTGGCCCCATCGCATCGCGGCATCGCGCTCCAAGCATCGCGGCATCGCGTCGGTCTCTTACCTCACTCACGGCCTCCTTTTCCTTATGCAGCGGAGGGCCGTGTTGCTGCTGCCCTGGCTGGGCGTCGAGCTCTTCACCACGCTGTACGACCTGGGCTTCTTCGTGTACATGTTCATCTCCAACGACGTGTACATCGCCATCGACCTCATGCCCATCCTGCTGCTGCGTAAGTGTGCTGCTTGCCGGCTTGCTGGAGGTCAGGACGTGATTGGACGGGTCGAGAGAAAGCAGACGACACGTTCCGGGCTGTAATGGGATGGCCTTCCCTCCTGTCGGTCGGAACTACACTTTCCGATTTCATTTTATCTTCCGAATCTCCAAAATGCCCTATAATTTCGTCTTTTTTCCCGCCCTCTCATTCACGTCATAGTGTACTCGTTATTATTATTTCCGAATCACGGTGTTCCTGCAATTTAGCGAGCAATTTAGGCGCGCTGACGTCCCGACGTCGCTCAGCGTGTTTGCCTGCTGTCGCATTAACAGCACGGATGGCGATGGCCCGGCCCGTCCGGCGCGCCACGGTTCCCACACAAGTGATATAACTCCTTTTTTCTGTTTTCTGTTCTCCGCCACAGCGCTTACTGTTTACTGCTGGCTGGTGGTGTACAGCCTGTACCAGGAGTGCAAGGAGACGGCGGCCATGAACACGTCCATGCCGCTGTCCATGTCCGCCCTGGAGGCCGCCACGGTGGGCGGGACTCTGAGCGGGACGCTGAGCGGGGCCCTGGGCGGGAACGTCGGCCAGTGCACGGTGCCCTACGGCCGGATGGCATAGCCGCGCAGCACAGCCACGAGCACAGCCCGGCGTAGCTCAGCTCGGCGAGGCGTAGCTCGGCGTGGCGTAGCTGCCTAGCTGGCCGCTAAGGTCGCCTGTTGGTGCGTTTCGTTTGGACCAGCCTACCGCAGGCTTCGCGGGCCAGCAGGACTTGGCCGGCACGCCCCTGGGACTTCCCCCTCCACCCGCCGGGCTCCAAAGCTACAGAGCTACAGCCCTGAGGACGCTCTTGTTTTATGGAAGCCCATTATACGGCGCGGCCGCGGTCCCGAGGCCAGATCGCCTTCACCATCTCCATGTTCGCCATGCGCATGCGGCCCCCGCCCCGCCAGGCTCGGCGGACAGCGGCAGCGCCAACGATGGATGTGTTAAAGGGCCCCCGAGGCCACAAGTCACCAGATCCACGCATTTTCGAAAAGGGAAAAAAAAAGTGCGCGGATGTTAGACTTTTAATGAATTCATGTGATATAGCGGGTACTATACAAGTGTAGTTAAATGGAGAACAGTGTCGTCACAGGCTCTGAGCATCAGTGATCTATGCGTCAAGTAGCGTCAAGCACTTTGAGGTGGAGTGCAAGTTTGGCTCGAGAGCCTTTGTTTTTGTTTTAAAAAAATATACATTCCTCAAATGGAGTAATAATGTGTTTTATTTTAGGAACAGGGTGTGTCCTCTCTCCAGCCTGCAGAAGGCAAGCAGTTCTGTAAATATAATTTTAAGAGTGTTTGTAAATTAAATTCGGGTGATAAAAGAAGTTTAAGTTACTAAGCTTATATAACTGTGAGACTAAGAATAAAACTATTTTTGTACTATCAATGCATTGGATTAAGGAGTTGAATTGAGGAATACAGCTCTATTAGTGATCCAGTCTTTATTGCCAGTGCACATTTTTTCCTATTAAGTAACATTGCACAAACATCACAGGGCAGTGACTCTACAAAGAAAGATTGGATCAATACACAGGTATCTGGCTTCACTCTCTATGATAACATTATAGATAGATTTCTGAAATAATATAGCCAGTACCTCATGTATAAAGACAATACTGCTGACCACAACCATTGGTTCCTAGACTAAATAAACCAAGGCAAAAAGGAAAAAAGAAAAGTCATCATCAGTTCAAAGTATAAAAGCAGAAAAGGCACTGATAAATTCAAGCCAAATGTAGCTTCAACCTACATTCATCACATGGATACGTTACTTATGCTGTCCCACAACTCACAAAATTGCAGGTAAATTTCGACTTGACAATAAGTGCGTCTCATCAATGGCTAGTGGTACAAATACATATTTTTGAAACCCTTTTGTTTCATTTGCTGATAACCCACAAGGTTTATCACAAATATAAGAATATACAACATTATGTGAGCTCCACAACATCCCAAAAATTGCCAGTCAATGAATTTTTATTATTAAACCTAAAGTGTTTTTAACAAAAGCGAATGAACTGCTAGTAGTAAAATCCACATTCATGGTAAATGACTTTTCAAAGTTCACTACCAACTCAAAAGTTGGTTAGTGTATGTACCTAGACTCTTTTCATATGGACCCAAATGTCAATTACCCCCATGATCTAATCCCAAAACTCATCCTCATTCAACATGGGGTTGGAAATGGTGCATCAGTAGTATATAAAGTAAACATAGAAACATGACCTAAAATATCTTATATTTATAGAGCCTGCATTACATTATAGAAAGTTACAAAAAGCAATAATATTTTAAAGAGAAAGTCCAAGCTGTAAATTAAATAATATAGAGTAAAAACATGTTTATGAAATTTGACTACAGATCAGAACAAAAACTATCTGAAAGATCTTCCATTCAGATTTCACACTAAATGGTAGCATCAACATAAATCAATCACAGCCATGACGAACTACTCCAATCTATTAATTTTCGTTTTAGTGATATATCAGATCAAGAAACACTACATTCTCAAAAGAAGCCTCAATCTTGATCACTATTTTACATTTGTATTTACCTTAGCAAATTATTTGAAAGGGGAAAGAAAATGAATCTTAACAACAAAGAAAAATTGTGTTTGAAACAAACAGTTCCATTGAAATTCCAAGAACCTCAGTCTTACATGTTACCAGTAGTTAATTTGCTCACACACTGCTGATCCTACAACAGACCTTAAAACATACTATGCAGAAGTTCAAGACTAGATACATTATAAGGAAAACACAACAGTGAAGCAGAGTGGCACATGCCATCAAGCAAGGACTACCGCACACAGTAAAAATAGCATGGTTGGTGTGGTAGGGAGGATTACTGCAACACCCAAAAGAAAGGAGTTTAACCATACTGATAAATTATTGCCAAAATGTTTGACTATGAGAAGTGATGTGCAAATACAAAGGTAACAGGAGGGTGAAGATGTAAGGTAATATGGAAACTATCACTGTTGGCTATGTTAGAATAAAAAGAGCCTGTTTGCTCAGATAAATGTATAAATAACAATAAATATTCACAGACAGGGTTAAATGTTTTCCTTCTTTCATTCATAACGAGTGCAAAGCAACACCTTGAAGGGACAGAAGCAAGTGCCAATCTGACCCATGAGTTGCCAGTAACTCACGCAAAAACATCCATACCCCAGCTAACCCCCAGAAACACAATTAAAAAGATCAAGAGTACATACGGTTTCAAGGTAATCATTACAAATTCACATCTCAAAGGACGGTGCTGTACTGTACTGCCATTTTTCTTTTTGTAAACTAATATCAGTGGCCCAATCTCTTAAAGTCAGTCGTACTCGTGGCTGCTCTCACGCTTGGATAGAAGGTTGACTCTGTCTTCATCGACATCACCTGATCCACTTGGAACACCTAGACTTCTGGATATCTTGGCAAGTCCCTCCGTCAATCCCGTTTCTGTAATACTGCACAAGAAAACAAATGTAACAAATATAGTGCCATGAGGTTAACAGAGACCTACACTCTTGACACTTACACAATGTCAACTTCTTCATCTTCTTCTTCTTCTTCATCTGTGTTAACTTGGAAGTATGGATTGGCAGCAGCTGGCCTGAATTTATATCCGGTTAAAACAAAGAAGACATAGGTGGCCATTTCCCTGAACATCTCATCAAGCCACTCGTATTGGAATGGAACGGTCATCTGAAAAGACAGGATTGAAGACAGCTCAGCAGGTTATACTAAACTTAAGATGATCCATGTATTAGTGTTATATAAAATGAAGCAAACATACCCTCAGCAGGCACACTATAATTCTTGTGAAGTAAATGTAGCACACAATAACAATGTAGAAGTGTCGGAAGAGTTTCAATTTGCGCAAGTTAATGGCCGCTTTCCCATCGGTCTCGGACGCTTCCTGAAGATGCCTTATAGACCTAAAATTTACAACATGACGAAAACTTCAATCTCTGAATAAAATTTATTAAAACATATACAAGATTTCTACATACCACACAACTGGACATAAAATTGCACCACAGCATATCAGGTCCACAAAGATGAAGACTTCTCTCCACATTCTGTGCTCAATGTCTCCTTCCTCTGATTCCTCAATTATGATCTCTGCTACATTGGCAAGGACCTAAATAAAGGAAACCATAATGTTACTGAGACAATGCTAATAAATATTGCTGAAGGAAAGGTATAAAGAGAAGAGCCACAGCATGGAGCAGGGTTGGAACTGATTTGATTTACCTGCAGTGGTATGACAATCATAAAAATCTTCTTATCTTTTTCTGATAGAATGTATTTGATAAAATTCCATCCTGTTCCCACCAACACAATTGTGATGAAAAGTACAGCACCTTTCAAACTGAAAATTTAATCATAAATTAATAGTTTCTTTAAGAAAAGCCAAAGAAAAAAAAAACTGAAAGGAAATTGATAAACCTACAGATGAGTCACATAAAACAGAATTGCCCAAGCAGCAACATGTTCTCCTTTTGTTTGAATAAAATGGAAATTGATGGCATGGAAGAGCAGAGATAATGACTTCAAATAAACCAAAACTGCCATCAAATAATGAATCTTGTAAACAGGATGTCTGCAAAAAAAGAAAAAGTGATTTAAATGTTACAACCAGTTTAACATGTCATTTCTCTGCACAATATTTAATGGGAAAAAAAGGAGAACTTACTTGCTATGGCGCAATATAAACACCCAGAAGCAACCAGAAAGGAAGAAAAGTAATGCCATCATGAAGTAGAGAGCTGGTAGTGGCATTTCTCCTGCTGAGAGGTAGTTTCCTTGATTTGTCTCCTCTATTTCCATCTAAAATATCAACAAGGTGATGAATTAATAAGATCTTAGAAACATGGAGCAACAATTTTTTTAAAAGATTTTTAGGTAAAAGACACATACAGTAAAAGTGATGGACACTTCAGCATCGTCACTGTGGTAGTTTGGACAGCTGTGGAAGTACAGGTTGTACAATCCCTCTTCTGCTTCAGTTGCCACATACATCACAAACTGAAGTAAACAAGAAAATGGTATTTGCAAGTATTAGGACTACCATACACAGCTCTCTCATGGAAATTAATGACAATAAATAATTATGATGTGCGACAAGGTAATTTTTCTTACCGATGCATTGAAATATTCTCTTTTGGCATCAGTAGTTATTGGCCATTGCAAATTCGAACAGGGTGTACGAGACTCATCTTCAGCAGATCTGGCTGCTCTCAAGACCTGGGATGGCATTGCGCTTTCTGAAATACAAGTTGAATCAACAATGGGTATCTCTTTTTGTACTCAATTTATACTTGAATTGAAAACTATTACAGGAGGAATAGAAAATAAAAACCTCTATAAGATTTACCTTGAACATGCTCAGACAATGCTGGAAGGGATGAGATGTTCTGATACACATGAAGGGTTGGGATTTTTCTACTACAACTCACATTTAGTCTGGAAAAGAAGTAATAACGCACCCATATTATTTTAGTGCTGGAGCTTAAAAATTGGCGGGGGCAAAATAAAACCAATCTTACTTCAAGTTCTTAAGGTCCATGGTAAAATAGACAACAGGTGGACTGTTGGGGTTCTCCGTTTCAGGTCGGCTAGGCTCTTCAAGCAGACAGCGCTCTTGATGACTATCCAGATAAGGATTCATTGCATCACTTAAAGTTCTATCCAAGCTGAACCCATACTTTAAGACAAAAAAAAAGAAAAGTGGTTAGAACAGAAATATTGTCATTTATTCATTAAAGGTAGTGATTTTAACTTACCACATGATTTTTATCCAATGGTTGCGGATGGAAATTAAGTAGCCTGACATTTAAATAGCCACCCTTGTAGAAACCAAATGTGGTGAGCGCAATGTATCTTCGCTCATCACCCTGCAGTGATTTCAATGAATATTTTAAACATAACCGATAACAGATGAATTGTTAACATGAAACAAGGCATCAAGAGAGTTAAAGTACTGATGACCCACACAACATAACCTAAATACAGGACTTCCAAGCAGAAGTTATTCCACGCAAAATTTTAAGTATGTCTCAACATAGGAGTAGTAATAAACAAATGATTGAGAAAATGACTCAGGGATTTAAGCTTTAATTGGAGAGGAATCGACAAATTACGTGTATGTAGGCTGTGGTGTAATGTAATTCACATTGAGTCATCTACGTACAGTACCAAAGTAGAAATTACCTGAAGTTTGAGTTCATGAATTCTTCCATGAGAACTAGCAGCAAAAATGGTCAGAAGTAACACTAAATAAGTTAAATTCGGCGGATCCATGTTGACATGAAGACGACGTAATGTTGTTACTGTTGTCACTTCTTCTTGTTGCTGTTGATGTTCTTGTTGGTTGGTCGCTGCTGCTTATTCGCAGAGCGCTTATTTTCAGCACCAGCAGGTGTTTCCCGGGGCAACGGGGAGTGGGCGGACGCGGACGCGCCGCTGGAGAACAAGTGTTTTCCAGAAATCCCTTTCCAGCCGGAAAGAAAGACGCTTTCGTGGGAGATATTCCGTTGAAAGATGGTTGGTAGCGCTTCATTCCCACATTCCTCTCGCAGCACACCCCTCGCCCCCTCGCAGCATCCCTAGCAGCATCCCCGCCTTGAGACAAATCTCCAGGACTGAGTTCAGCCGGCCTCAAGGGGAACTTCTAACACGCAGTCCCGCAGCCCATCGCGGTGACAAGCGATGAGGCTCCGCCTGACTTATGATACTGGGTTATCGCTGATCGTTAATCAGCCGTTGCGCGTGCTGCAGGTGGTGCAAGGTGACAAGGATGTGGACGACGGCGAGGAGGAGGTGCAGGAGGCGTCCGACCCCGTGTTCGCCGCCCTGCTGCAGGACTTCCAGAAGGCAAGCAGGGTGCTCGTGTGCGAACAGCGTCCCCAGGTCGTCGTAGGTTCAAACCCAGAAATTATGTTTTCGTTTCTCAGACGCTGGCGCAGATGCAGCGACGGCCGGGCATGATGACGTACGCCACGGAGCTGAAGCGCGTGCTGGACGTGCTGGTGGAGAGCCACGAGCAGAAGCAGCGCTACGAGAACGCCTGCAAGGAGCTGACGGCCAGGGTGGCGGCGGACACGGAGCGCTCCAAGCAGGTCGCGCAGCAGGCGCTGCAGGACCAGCTCGCGGTGCAGCAGCAGAAGCAGGTCTGGCTCCACGTCTCGGCTGCAGGTAGCTCGCGTTAGAGCGTCGTGGTAAAGCGTGCCCATCTGCAGGAGCTGGACGCGGCCTGGAGGCAGCTGGACACGAGCCACTCCAGGGAGCAGGAACTCCAGGAGCTGGTGGACGACCTGCGGCGCCAGGTCAACAAGCTCAACATGGACTTGGAGCAGAAGGCGCGCCTCGGCCTGGACCAGGGCGACGAGTGAGACAACCGGAAACTTCTTTTCGCGTACCTGTTTGTGGCCAACACGTGTGTGCTGGGCCCGCCTTGCGCGCCTCAGCGCCTGCGAGGTAGGCCGCCGGGCCCGCTGGCAACACACCGGTGTGGAGACGCTGGCCTACCTCGCCCCTGTCAGGCGGCAAGGGTAGGCCACCGTCTCCACGCCGGTGTGTTGCGAGCCGGGCCTGCGGCCTACCTCGCAGGCGCTCCAGGCCCGAACAGGGGCCGTCCTAGAGTGCCCACTCGATCGCAGTCGACAAAAAAGGGCATTTGTAGCGTCTAGGGTGGCCACACCACAACGTCGCGGCCATGAGCAGGGACACTGCTTGGCGCCGCTTGGCGTAGACGCTCCGCAACGCGTTGTTGTTTCCTTTCTCGGCAGCTTCGGCATGCTGGCCAAGACGCGCGAGGGGCTGGCCAAGGAGCGGGAGAAGCTGTCGCAGGACGTGGTGACGCTCAAGGACCGGCTGGCCAGGGCGGCCGCCACGCGCGCCGAGCTGGAGCAGCAGGTGAACGTGTTCGAGCAGCGGCTGCAGGACCTGGCGCAGGAGATGGAGGTGCAGGCCAACGAGCTGTCCAAGGAGACGAGGCTCAAGGAGAAGCTGCAGGACGAGGTGCGGTCGCTGCTGTGCGACCTGGAGCAGCGCACCGCGGACGCCGCCAACCTGTCCTTCCAGCTCGCGCAGGCCAACAAGAACGCCCACCGCGGCGAGGCGGCGCTGCGGGAACAGCGGGTGCGTGCTGCTCAAGGGGGGACCTAGACGCTCCGCGGAAAGTTGCAACGGATGTCTGCGCAGGTGGCCAACGAGCGCCTCGCCAAGGACAACGAGTCCCTGACGGCCAAGCTGACCCGGGTGCAGACGGAGCTGGAGACGCAGGCCGTGGCGCTGGACAAGGCGGTCCACGACTCGCACCGCAAGAACGCCGAGCTGCGGGTCAGTCAGCACTGCTCAGCAGGCGGCGCGCTGCCTTCAGTTGGCGGCGGCGTGTCCGGTAACAGCGCACTGACGTGTTCGCCATGCCCAGGCGCGCGAGGACGAGCTCTCCAAGATGAGGACGGAGCTGGCGCGGGTCACCAAGGCCCGCGACGCGGCCGAGAAGCGCGCGCGCCAGGAGGAGGCGTGGCGCGCGGACCAGCGCGCCGAGAGGGAGAAGCTGCAGGCCTCGCTGGCCGTGGCGGAGCGCAACGCGGAGCAGGCCGACAAGCAGCAGAGGGCGGCCCGCGCCGACCTGGAGCGCGTCAACAGGGACAAGGGCGTCGCCGAGCGCCAGCTCCTCGCCCTCAAGAGTGAGCCAACTCTGTCCCTCTCGCACTCACGGCCCGTTCCGTAGGCCGTGTGCGAAAGAGACAGGCAACCGGATCGGAGTGCTTTGGCGGCGCCCTGTCCCCTGGTACACGTGTCTTGTTTGCAGTGGAGCTGGCCGAGCAGCGCAAAGCGGCGGCCGAGGTGGAGCAGGCCTCTGCACAGCTACGCCAAGAGGTGCATCGCTGCGAGGGGGAGCTCGCCGCCAAGGCCGCCGAAGTGGAGCAGCTGGCGGGCGACAACGACAAGTGCGTGACGCTGCTCGTCGATTCCCCTTTGGTTCCCCTTCCCCGCGGCGGCCAGCGCCTCTCACCCTTCCGGTTGCAGGTGCACGGCGCAGGTGGCGCAGTTGGCGCAGCAGGTGCGGCGCAGCAAGCGGGACGTGTTCCACCTGCAGGTGCTCGTCGAGAGCGGGCGGCGGCGCCTCCAGGAGGCTGACGGCCAGCTCGAGGCGGCGCGCAAGGACGGCGACGTGCTGCGCCTCGAGGCGGACAAGCTGACCAGGCAGCTGTCCCTGGCCAAGGACGACGGCCACGAGCTGCGCGACAAGCTGGAGGCCTCGCGCAGGGACGCCGCCCAGCTCAAGGACGAGGTGGCCAGCAGGGAGTACATGCTCTTCAAGAGCCGCACGGGTAAGAGGCTAACACCTGGACGGGGTTGGCGGTGGCGTTTAACACGTTTAACTTCGTCCTCGTGGTCGTGGTCCTTGCCCGCAGAGCTGCAGCGCTCGGAGCGAGACCGCGACAGCCTCCGGCTGCAGGCGCAGGGCCTGCAGCTCCAGGTGGAGACGCAGCGGGCCGCGCTCGCCGCGGCGCGCACCGCGGAGGAGGGCCTGCAGCTGCAGGTGAAGCAGCTGGCCGCGGAGAAGCAGGCGGTGCAGCGGCAGCTGGGGCAGGTGCGTGGAGGGCTGGGGGCGGGGTGTCCTCTGTGCTCGGGGCGTGCTTGACGGACTCTCCTCTCCGCGCAGGCCCGCGACGAGACGGCGCTGCTGGCCACGCAGCTGATGCGGCGCGGCGAGGAGGCGCGGCTGCTGCACGAGAAGACCCTCATCCTGGGGTCCGTGCTCGCCAAGGGCAGGGACAGCTACGAGCGCCGACTGGCCGACGTGCGTCTGCTGCGGATCCAGATCAAGCGCTTGCGGTGCGTACCACTCGCACCATCAGAACCACCGCGGTACTGGTACACTGGCACGTGATTTGATGAGTCGGTGCGCGCTGCGCCACGCACTGCGCAGGCTGGAGAAGGCCAACCTGGCCGCCATGATCCGCAACTCGGCCGAGCTGCGCCTGGAGCTGTACCAGACGAGTAGGCAGCTCACACACTCGCAGGTCAAGTGCCGCGCCCTGGAGGAGGAGCTGCACACGCCGCTCAACGTGCACCGCTGGAGGAAGCTGGAGGTAGGACCCTCGTCGTGGTCGATCACTTGAGGGTGGGCCTTCCCTCGACTGAGCCGAGTCGCTGTCGGCCGCGCCGTGTTGGCAGGGTACGGACCCGGCGCACCACGAGCTGGTCATGAAGGTGCAGCTGCTGCAGCGGCGTCTGCTGTCGCAGTCGGCGCAGATCCTGGTGCGGGAGGCCCAGCTTCGCGAGGCGGAGCAGCGCCATCTGCAGCTGCAGGTGGAACTGTCTCGCGCACCGGGGCCCGAGCTGCAAGAGCAGCTGCAGCAAGGCCAGCGTCTGCTCGCCGAGCGAGCGCGACGGATTAAGGTGAGCCAGTGGTGCCGGACCGGAAGGGCGTGTGGGCCCGTGCTGCGTCCCTGCTGTCTCTCACTCAGTCTTGGCCTCCAGTGTCTGTCTTCAGAGGTGAAAATGCACGAGACCAGGGCCGAGGCACATCAAGTGGAGCAGCAGAAAGCGCAAGAAGAAATTGCTACTCTCAAGCAAAAATATTTTCAACTGGCAAGTCGCTGCTTTCCGTTTCTCGTTTATGTGATACCTTATTGGTACTGACATTGGACGTCGATGTTGCAGAAAAAACGCGAGCAGCAGCTGCGTGAACTACACAGCACTTGCCAAGGTGGCAGCTTGACGCTATCGCAACTACTGGGAAGGGCCAGGGTGTTGGGCGGAGGGTACAACTTGTCCCTGCAACCTCCAAGGGAACAAGACGAGTTTGAGGAAAGCCAAATTGTGGAAGAGACGTAGTTACACACAGGAATCAAATGAATTATGTTGTTTTATTGTTTACCAGATGATAGAATTGTTTATATTATTTTAGTACAAATATAAGTTGACTACAAACATAAATATTTATATATATATTTTATACTTTGTATTTGAAAAATAAAATAGCGATAGCTGTTACAGTACATTTTAACTTTTTTTCCAATTTCAGCTTGTTTGTAAATTGCTTCAAATTGATAGAAGCAGTAAAAACAAAAGAAAAGTAACAAACAAGAGCTTTTGCCTTGCTGTTAAACTCTGGAACACTACACTATAGTTTTCATACAAAAGGTACTTCAAGAGCAATATGAAATAGAATTGATTGTTCTAAAAGGATTCATTAAAATCACTAGTAGTTGCTGATTACTAATCAGCAGCATTCACAAAATCAGATACAAACACTAAAACTAAGTGCAGAGTACAAAAATCACGAATGCTTACACATCAAAATTACAAATATTATGCCTGCATCAAACCAAAATTCAAGGTAAGATACAGTTCATGTACACAGCCATTTTGAATTGCTTAAACAGTGGTTATTAGAAATTATTTCCAAACTTTGATAACACCATCACAGGATGCTGACACCAAAAAACACTGGGATGCTTGGCACAGAGTAAGATCGCTAATCCAGTCTTGATGCCCAGCAGGGGGTTGCTCAGGGCCTGCCCGGGATTTCTCTTCACTGTTGCTAGATGTGGAGGCAGAGCCGGCAGTTCCATAGCTACCTCTGGAACCTGGACCACTAGATGTAGTTCTTTGTTTAGTTAGTTTCTCCTCAACAACATTGACACCATCAAGTAATCTTGTTCTGAAAAATACAACCAGAAATTGTAATATGAAAGAGATATGAGCTAGTGCCAATATCATACCAAATAATGCTTACTTATACACCAGGTGTGAAGGTTTGAGATTGTCATGAGCAGCAGGTACAACTATGCGGGAATTCACATGAGAATCTAAATCCCAGAAACGTAAACGTCGGTCTGAACCTCCAGTTATGAGGAATGGAGATTTGTTCACTGAGCCAGCAAACATAGCACATACACTATTTGGGGACTGCGTAAAGTAAGACAAGCCATTACACACTACACTTATAATCATTGGAAGAGGAAAAAAATTATTATTCTTTATTATTAAAATATACCTTTTGATTGTTGTCCTGACTATGAGAAGAAAATGGCTGAGCGGAGCTAGCCCAAAGCATAGACTGACGGCATTGCATTTCCATGTTCCACATGGAAACTTCATTATGCCCTTGCACTGCAGATATAAGCCACGATGGTTCAGTTGGGTGACACACAAGCCGACGCACACGAGCATCTAGCAAAAGAGAAAAAAATTAGTTCATAAGATAATTATCAGGAGATTGGAACTAAAATATCAGGAATTTACACCCACAAGAGAGGCTGAAGACACAAATACACTTGAAATTGCACTTACTAGTTTGATGAGAAAATGTAGATATAGGTAACTGGAATCTTAAATCCCAACATATATGAAAACCACTGCTAGTTCCAAGAGCAAGCCAGCATTCATTTGGATCAACACACATAGTTGTTATCACACCTAAAAAAAAAAGAAAAAGCAGCATATAAGTATCTAAATTCAAAATTTCTCATAGAAGTTCAATTTTGAAAAATAACCATACTAACAAAGATAATAATACATACCATGCTTGAGATCATTTTCTAGTTTCCATGCAGTTCCTGGCTGCCGCAAATCCCATCCAACAATAGACCCATACATAGTTGCATAGACAACAACTGGACCCGATTGAAAGGAGGCTATATCTACAGCACATCCATCTTCCTGCAAGTCTAACTGTCTTGATTGCAAAACTGAAGTCTTGTTGGTGCTAGTTTCCACTCTGGAAAATTATACCTTGTATTAGAAAAAGGCCTAAATACCCATAAACATTTATTATTTATTTATTTTTATGGTACCTTGACACAAAAACATCTCCTGTTTGAGATGCAGCTGCCAGTGTTTGCTCAGGACAAACAGCTAAACCTATTAGAGGGCCAGCTTGCCGGTTGGCAGTAATGCGAGAGCGATTAGCAATATTTCTGCCCTCCATTTTGGCACAATCCCATAACCTGATGCATCCATCTGCTGAAGCACTTGCAAAGAAAGATGTTTCTGGGAGAGTCACCAATCTGAAAATTAAATTTATGTTGTCAGAGGAGGATTGGCACTGAGCCACGGTTTGTAAATTATTCTGCTTGACATACCGAGTGACTGCCCCTCTGTGTTCATGAAGGTGAGCAACAAGAGTCCCTCCCAGATTCCACCCTGGAGGTGGAAGAGGCGTTTCCCAACAAGAATCTCTTGCAGCCAGACGAGTGCGAGCACAAGAAGAATATTGTTCTTGTTTCCGTTCAATTAATTTTTGAAGTTCTACTTGACATGGTGGGCAGCGATCTAACCATAAAAGAAAAAAATTTGAAGAGCACAATCAATACCAACAACATCTGCTGCAAGGAAGTAATCATTTATCAAAGCGATCACTTACATTGAGTGAACGAATGTTCTGGCATGGAGTAATCAGCTGCATCTAAGCTCCTGTGAGGAAGCATTGATTCAGACTCCACACTTATGGTCATTCTAGGAGGGGATCTAAAGTAGATAAGAAGGAAATGAGCATTCCAATTCACCCAGTACAAAAGTGCATTAAGTGATTCAGAGAAAATCAAAAGAAGAAAAAAGAGTTTACCCTGTTGAAGTTTGAAAGTCAGAACTTTTGACAGTTGTACCAGCTGACTCAACTCCCCCAAACATATGATGCCATTCCTTGTTCATTGCCGCAGGCAAAAGCTCTGGCATACTTGGACCTCTCCGCCCTGCCCTTGCACTACTACTTTTCCTTTAGGGGAAAAAAGGATGCAGGGAGTTGGTGAGGAGAGCGATAAGAAAACAAACTACAAGAACAACAGTGTCAGTTATCACTCACCTGACGGATGTCAAGTCCCCTTTTAGATTATCTTGAGCAACTAATGTCACATGAAAAGTTTGAGCTTTCCCAAGATCAATCTGTTCAATAAAAAAATCCTGGATAAATAAATTTTACCAATTTATGAAATAAAGGAATATAAAAAAATGATATCCTTACAACTGAAGTTTCTTGGGGAATAAGGAAGACTTCATGGTGGTGTTTGTGTTTCTGCATCTTTACTAAGTGTTTTGACATGGCACTGAGATAGTCCTCCACTTCTTCATTCATTCCTTTGTCTATCAATCTCCGAAACAGCTGAAAATTTGAAGTTATGAATTTTCTTAAGTTGATACCCTTGTTAAATTTAAAATTTAAAAATTAGGAATCATTATGACTTTAACGACTCACACTTTGTAGACTGCTATGGATTTCAGTATACTGGGGAACATGTCCGGCACGAACTAAACTTCTTTGATTGTGTCTTTCTTGAAGAGTGTCAAAAAAGATATGAAGATCTGCTTCTGATTTTAAGATGCAATCCAAAATCTCACGGGACACAGGCGGTTTCAGGGCATTCAGCAACAAAACCTGAGGCAGAGAAGGATGTCTAGTTAGGTCCTGTCGAGTGTTGCCAATATTCCATGAAAGGTGATATACCTCTTTATCGGGTTGAATGACTTGATGTTGCAGGTATGGTTCTAGAGCCTGCATAACTTTACACTGAACATCAACTATTGACAAAGAGCGAGCTGTTGCTGATATGAAACCCACAACTGCGTGACGCAGCCAAAGGTTTGGGTGAACCAAAAAGGGAGCACAGTCAGCCAAAAGTTCATACAGTGCACTTTTGTGCAACAAGCCTAGCTCTGTAAGAGCACGCATAGAACTGACAGCCTTGACAGAAACAAGTTCTTCTGAATCAGAAAGACCCTGGTTGAAAAATAAAATAAACACAAATAAAGTTAGCCATTGGAAAATCCACAAACAAAACTTGTAATTTAAAATTCTAACAAAGTGGTACCTGTTGCAGAAGAGGAAATATTATAGGAGATGCATGGCACCCTACATAAGCAGCAACTCCAACAATACAATCAAAGAAAGACCCCCTGAGTTGTTTGTCCTCCTTATCATTCAAAAAAGTGATCATATGTGAAAGAAGAACATCATTAGCTGAAACAAAAAGTTTTGTGAGTTTCAAAGATAAGTTTTTAATTTGTTGTGTTCATAAGAGGACTCTTAAGTACCTTTTTGTTTCCCAAAAAACACACAGAGTTTAGTGATTCCATTTTCAAGAAGGGTCTGTTTCACAAGGCTCTGCGGGTCAGTGATCAATGTGGCTACTGTTTGCTGAATCATTTCATGCAGAGTCTGCAACTCCATTTCATAACTTGGTGTTGGAGCCTCACCACTACCGTCCGCAGTACCATAAGCATTTTGCCACACTTGGCTATGTTCCAAAAATCTAAGGTGAACAAAAGTTGAAATAATTTATTTGACAAACAAACCACAAACATTCAAGGGGGGAAAAGCTAATACCTGAGTGCTGTTTCAGCCAATTGAGCAATATTTTCAGCATAAGCTGCTCTCACTATAACTGCTGGGTCTTTAACCAGCTGCAATAGCAAAAAATAATTCATGTTAATAAAGCAATAATAATAAAACAATAAACTGTTCTCTTTTATAGGAAAGAGATATTAAAAAAACAACCACATTACTTCAGTTCGGCAGAACAAAATAAGGAGATGCAAGATTTCACATACCACAGCAAGACCCGGGAGTATATACTCGGGAAAGATGTTTGTGTCACTGACAGGTACAGTCTTCACATACCGCAGGGCTTTGCTCAATGTATGCAAGGCTCTTACTCGCACTCGCGGTACAGTATCATGCAGCATACTCAACACGTATGGCAAAATACGATCCAGTATGGTTTCAGCTGATGCGTGAGCACTCAGCATCAAAAGTATGTCTAAAGCCTGCATTTTAGACATGCAGAACTTCAAGCCTCTAAAATAAAATTCAGAGCAAAATTATTAATTGGCTCCAAAAGGGAGTGGGGGTGGATTGCATCAAGAGCTTACCTTATACATGATGTGACAAGGCTTGTTATAATAACCAAAGCTTCTGATGGAGCACCGGTGACTTCCTTTCCTTCTGTTTCACTGTTTTCCTCTTGTCTTTCCTCTGTAGGCTCACTTTTGCTTGTAGATGAAACATCTTCTGGTTTAGTTGTAGATTTTTGACTACTTTCAGTTTGTTTCTCCTCATTAGTTACATCACCGTCAGAATTAAGAAAACTTATTATATTATCAATGTCTTTTCTTAGCCTAAAAAAAAATAAGAAAATGATGAAACTATGGGGTATACTTAAATTTTTTTAAATTAAGTATTTTAGTCCGTTTTTTAAACTTATCCCATACCTAGAAATCTTTTCATCGGCTGATAAAATTGGTGCAGCTGAGAAGGCTAGAGTATAGGATTGCAGGAATGAGTAAAAAACCTCAGGGAAAACTCGCCCTCTCTCTTGATGAAGGTATGTTTCAGCAGAAAGTCTGGCACTTGGATCTTTTTGCATCATGTGACACAAAAGTTCCTAAATCAAAGACATTTTTTGAGAAATGTAGCAAGCAATAGCAAGTCAAAACCTGCATTATATTTTTAAAGATAGCAAATAGCTCACCTTTACAGCAGGGTCTTCTATACGGTCTAGGCACTTATCTGGGCTGTAAGTACCAGAGCGATATTCTAGCAGTTGATAAAAAATAAAAGGAGGGTGGCCCTCAGTAAACAGCTCTGTTAGAGCACATCTGAAAAACATAATAAGTAAAAATGACTTGTGCAGAACTGTAAAACTTTAACAACATCCAAGGACAACCTACCCAGCAGAAAACATATCCATTGCAGGTGTGAGATCCCCTTTTCGAGGATCAGTTCCATCAAGTAAAAGTTGGCTAGTGAGCTCAGTTCCTAAGGTTTTTATAAACCTAGTGCAGAACAGTAAACAACACTAGAAACAAGGAATGGAAAAGCCAACACAAAACAATATAGTCAAATAAAACTTACCGTTCAGGCGCAATGTAACAGGTTCCTCTTCTGGATGTATCAAAGAAATATAAGAAATCGGCTGGATCATGTTCTGATAGATAAGTTGGCTTGAATGAGGCAAAATCAACCAAAAAGACCCAGTGCCAGGATGTAACCATAATGTTCTCTAGCTTGATATCCCCATGACAAACCTTGAGAAGATTACCACAGAAACAAAATTAGACAAAAATCAGAAGAAAAGAAAAGCAGCAGAGGGGGGGGCTGTAATCTTACCCCAACTTCATGACACTTGTGCAGAGCATATAAGACTTGAAATGCAATCCATTTTTTCTCAATATTTGTGAAGAAAGGACGAGTGCTCATACGATCGTACAAGCTATATTTAACATACTCTCGCATCAAGAAGCCAGCCTTATCTGTCAGCTAAAGGGAAAAAACATCATCAAGTTTAAAGAAAAACTAATAACTAAGAGTAGCCTCAGTTGAATGCAATATGCAACAGACCACAGCTCTCTGAAATGGGAGACAGTTGACCGCTGAACTCAGTTTAGCACGAATCTCTTCAATTTTATTCTTGTGGGCCGCAAGGGGTAGAGAAGGATCGTGTATTGCAAACACCTTAACGACAACCAGTCCTTCTGAAGAGTTGGCCCTTGCCACCTTAAAAAATCGTGTGCTGCCAAGACTGTAATCCACAAAAATATGTAAGACAATGTATGAAGTGGACAACTACAGAAACAACAGCAGGTTAATGATCAGGAACCTTGGTTGCATATTGAGAACTTACTTTCTATCGAATTGAAGGCTTTGAAGGTGGGGATTGTCAGTAAGGTAGTGTTCCACGGGGAATATTTGTGAGGGAGCAATGCCAACCAATTGGTTCCCCATTGTCAAAGTAAGTACGACGTTCTTCCGCAATGTTGTTTAAGGGCCGTGTCAGTGATTGCTGCTCATGATGATGGTCCTTGCTACACAACCACAACCAACCTAAAAGCTCAGTCAGACTAGATTACATGTTACCAATAGAATTAAACCAGAAACAAATTCATTTCACTCTTTAACCTAAGTGTCAAGTTCCAAGGCAAAAACAAATACATGGAGTCTGCGCCTGTGCCCCTTTCTGCCTGTAACCGTTCTTCAGTTATCCGCACAATGTTGTGCGAATATTCACTTTCGTCTGCTTGCTTGGTTTGGTTTGTCAACTAAAGATAAGAAGAGAAAACTATAGTTTCTGATTACATCAAAAAATAAGGGCAAACAAGATGCAATCATTTACACTTAAGTCGCGGTCGAAATTCTGGCCTAAATGTCCATTAGACTGGGGAGTGTTTACGGTGACTTTAGTGCTCATGCCGACTATTTACATGCATGAAATGTTTACCGTGCGGCCAACTGTGTGGAGAAACGCACCATTTTTTTCTAACTTTGTAATTTATGGAGGTCTTTTTGTGTTTTTGAATATCGTGGCGAACTTTGTTGGTTTGGTAGTTACTGACACTCGAGTTCCTGATAAAGTTATGTCAACAGTGAAACAGTCACCGCACTGGAAGTACTGTGACTTGTGCATCAGTTACGTCCCACCACGAGCATGGCATTGCAAAGTTTGCAAAGTGTGTATTTTGAAGAGAGATCATCACTGCTTGTTTGCAGGTTGTTGTGTTGGACATTTTAACAGTCGCTTTTTCATCATGTATCTGGTCTACGTATGTATCGGTACACTTTATTGTGTTATAAGTGACTCCATATTTTTGATAAACAAAGTTGATTTACGATTTCCCTCTGTAGTGTTAAAAATAGGCTTTCCTGCTTTTGCGTATCTTTCTGGCGTGGAGACGTTTACAAATGAATGTTTTATTTTGTTATTTATCATCAATTTGGCAGCATTTATCTTTGTTTGTGTATTATTACGGTTTCATGTTCGAATTATTTTGAATGGACAGGTCACATATGATGTTAAGTCATCTAGCTCCAATTATGACTATGGCAAAATGGAAAATGTCAAGGAAGTTTTGGGGTGTCGATGGTATGTTGCCTGGGCATTCCCTCTTGTTTCTTCTCCCCTCCCAAGGAGTGGTTTAGAGTGGGATACTTCAGAAGAGTGGAAGCTCAAGCGTCAAAGAGTTACTGAGAAAAGTAAATAGATCAATTTCTATCCAGTGATACTGTTGTTCTTCTAGCTCAATCTTTCAATTTTTCTGATGTTGCTATTAATGGCAAAACTTGCTCAAACTTTACTTTTTAAGTTGACCATTTTGCTGCTGCCTATACTGATTCCTGTATTTTGTATTATTTTTATGCAAGTTCTATGTGATTCCATTTTACAATGTATTTTACTCAAGTTTGTTGTGTGAACATTTCCAATTATAGTATTATTGTTACGGCTGTGCCAGCACACCTTGTACTTAATAAAAATACCAATAAAATAATCTACACTTAAGTATTATCAAAATGTGGTCGTTCGAGTCCTTCCATTTCCCCTTGGACCCTTGGACTTCGTACCTTTTACTGGGTTTCAGAAAAGAGAAGGCAAAACCTGAATGCCTTGGTGGGGGTGGGCCAGGCGGGGGCTGAGCCCGAGTGGTGGGAGACACTATAAGAAAAACCGGCCCATGGGGAGGCCGCCAGTCGCGCTTTGACAGAGTAAGAGCGAGAGCTCGCATCGCCCGAGAGGAAGGACGCCGGCCAGCGGATAATCGGTTCACGGTAAATTTCCTTTGGTGACGTACGGTTCAATTTTCAACTATCTCTCTCTCTCTCTCCCCTCTTTTTTGACTTGACTCAAAATTACTGTTGAAGACGCATTTACGTTATTCTGGGGGGGGGGGAATTGAACATGTTGAGAGTGCAAGAAAACGCCCCAGCAGTTGGCGGCTCTTCCACTGACAGTGAGGTCCTTTGGTCCTTCTCCGCTCCTTGCGATACCGCGAGTCAACAAGTGTAGCAAGAAAGTCATGGGGGTGCCGTTTGTGCGTCCTGTTAGCTGGCGGCCACGCCGCGACGCTGCGCACACTGTTTGGGGCGCTTGTGTGTTGTGTGCCGCCCTCGCCGTCCGCGTGCTGTAATGCTCCAGTCCCCGGACGAGTCTTGCATCACTGGTTTCCGCAGCCGCCGGGGCGACGCGAGGGAATGACCAGGCATCGACCGCGCCCTGGACCAGCAGCGCCCTCTAGAGCGCCAGAGCAGAATGCACCCCGAAGGGGACACCCTTCTCGTTAAGTTGGGCACCTCGTCTCACCCTTTTCGAACAGTGGGTCAGCCGGCCGGGCGCACGCCTATGGACGTATGCGACCTTGTTTCTGGGCCACTTTCTCCCACCGCTGGAGCCGGGCCGGAGAGGCTGCGGCCGGGCCTGGCCGTGCCGGCAGGTTCCGTGCCGGCGTTACGACACCGAGTGCGCCTCCAGACGTAACGCTGGATGGACCTACTCTTCCGGTGGCGGGGAAGGGAGGGGGCAGACAGCGGGGCGGCAGTCGCTGCCGGGGCGCGGAGGACCAAGGACCGCGAGGCTCGCGAGGCGCTGCTGGTCCTGGAGTAACACACCACTGCCCTCCAGATGTGGTTCCTCGTCGTGGGCCTGTTCGCCGTCACGGCGCTGCTGCTCTACCTGGACAGCCGCAAGCCCAGGGGATTCCCACCGGGTGAGTACCGCCGACACACCGGAAGCCTTCTGTTTGTGCTTTTTGTTGTGCGCACCTTGACCGGTAGTCGAACCCAGGCCCCGACTGGCTGCCCATCCTGGGCTCTGCGCGCGAGCTGACGCAGCTTCGCAAGGAGACGGGGTACCTGTACGTGGCTTGCGACCAGCTGGCCAAGAAGTACGGGCCCCTGGTCGGGCTGCGCGTCGGCAAGGACAGGCAGGTGATCGTCAGCGGGTATGAGGCCATCAAGGAGATGTCCAGCAGGGACGAGTTCGACGGCAAGCCCCGGGGCCCGCTCTACGAGACCAGGACCTTCAACATGCGGAGAGGTGAGTGTTCGCTCCCCTTGCCAGCGGTGTTGCGCACCATTCCGTTCATCATTGGCTCTTCCTCCCGTGTCGCAGGGCTCCTCCTGACGGACTCGGACTTCTGGGTGGAGCAGCGCCGCTTCGTGCTTCGCCAGCTCCGTGAGTTCGGCTTCGGCCGCCGCACCATGGGGGCGCTGGTCCAGGACGAGGCCGGCGAGCTGGCGCGCTCCTTCGACGTCATGCTGCAGAAGAAGCCCGAGGGCGTGATCAGGCCCATGCACGACGCGTTCGGTAGGCTCCTGGGTGCTAGTTTGAACACCGCGTGGCCGTTGGTTTTCTGGTTTTCCTTGCCCTGACGCCGCCGTCGTGCTCGCTCGCAGGGCTGTACGTGCTCAACACGCTGTGGACCATGCTGGCCAGCGTGCGCTACACCCCCGAGGACACGGAGCTGGTGACGCTGCAGGCCCTGCTCAACGACATGTTCACGCGGCTGGACATGGCGGGGGCGCTCTTCTCCCAGTTCCCCCTCCTGCAGTACGTCGCGCCCGACTTCTCCGGCTACACCGAGTTCGTCACCATCCACCAGCGGCTCTGGAAGTTCCTGCGAGTGGAGATCGACCGCCACATCGAAACCTACGACCCCAACGAGATGCGCGACTTCATGGACGTGTACATCAAGAGCATCAAGGAGACGGCGGGCGACCCCAAGAGCAGCTTCTCAGGTTGGTTCATGCTGCGCCAAGCCTCGCCAAGCTTTGCCAAGCGCTGCAGAAGTCGTTGCTCTACCGTGGGTTTCTTTCGCTTTCCAGAGCTGCAGCTGCTGGCCATCTGCATGGACATGTTCATGGCGGGCTCGGAGACGACCAGCAAGTCGCTTGGCTTCGGCTTCCTGTACCTGCTCCGCCACCCCGAGGTGCAGCAGCGAGTGCAGGCGGAGATCGACGCCGTGGTGGGCCGCGAGAGGCCGCTCGAGTTGTCGGACAGGCCCAAGTGAGTGAGCATTGCCAGGGCCAGCCCAGCGCCAGCGCGCCTGCGGTCAGCCGGGTAGACTGCCCCGCCACGCACGGCCGCGCAACGGGCGGGCCCGCCCGCCGCTCCACAGGGGCTCCCCTCCCCGGCGGCAGCGCTCGACTGCGCCGGCAGACTAATTCCGAGAGTCGTTTCAATCGCTCTGTCTCTCTCGCAACTATGGAGTCCTGCCACGACGAGCACCGAGCTCATTCCCTCTCTGCCCGCAGCTTGCCGTACACGGACGCGGTGGCGCTCGAGTCCATCCGCATGTTCATGGGGCGCACGTTCGGCGTGCCGCACCGCGCCGTCAAGGACACGTACCTCATGGGCCACTTCATCCCCAAGGAGACCATGATGGTGGTCAACATCCCGTCCGTGCTCATGGACAAGAGCGTGTGGGGCGACCCGGAGAACTTCCGGCCCGACCGCTTCCTCAAGAACGGCAAGGTGGTCATCCCCGACGAGTACCTGCCCTTCGGCTACGGTAAACCACACCATCATCGCGGACTTGTCTCCATTTTCGTCCCGCTCCCGCGTTCGAGAGCATGTGAACGTGTCGTTTGTTTTGTGTGCAGGCAAACACCGCTGCCTCGGCGAGACCCTGGCCCGCTCCAACGTGTTCATGTTCACGGCTGCGCTGCTGCAGAAGTTCGACTTCCGGGTGCCGCCCGGCGAGGCCCCGCCCTCCACGCAGTGCGTCGACGGCGTCACCGCGGCCACCGTGCCCTACAACGCCCTCGTCACGTATAGGGCGTAGGGCGCGTGCAGGGCGCGTGCAGGGCGCGGGGCGTGTGTCCCAACCAGTGTGGTGCCATGAGGATAGGAGGAAACTTATAGTCCTCAACTCATTTTGACTGATGTTAGGAGAGAAGGGAGTGAAGTAAGTAAAGGAAAGCGGGTGTTTTTGATCAATTTGTATTTACAGCTGTTTTGGTCCAACCTATGTGCTGATGGCTATGGCTCCTTTCAAACAAAGCTAAAAACAGATGGAAAGGATACAGCCAGGGTAAAATTTCATGAAAAACTATCCAGCAAAATGAGAAAGAAACACAGGGACTGATAGTACAAACAGATTACGGTCATAATTTTTTGTTTGTTCAAGTGTTTGTTATACCAATTTGTTCTTGTTAAACTTTGTTGAATAATCTTAACTTAGAGTGGATTGGAAGCCATTCAATCTTATTTAATGTTTCTGTTGTTACTTTTAAACGAATAAAAACTCAAACAAGACTTATAGAATGCATAAGCAACGTAAATGTAATATTGCTGCTTTCTCTTTTACAAAGGGTAATATGGCAAATAAAACATTTTTTGACATTTGTAAAAACATCATGATAACATCATTTTAAGTAAAAAGAGCCCAATCTTGCCATGCAAGGCAAGAGAAAACATCACAGCCAATTCACGTAAAACATAGCAAAATCAACGGAAAAGTCCATGAAGCCCTATAAACATCCAAATTTGAAATCACACACTTATCAACCACCAAGAACTATCAAGGCTCAATGCAGGGGAAAGTCGAAATAGTTCAACCTGGACACAAAATTCTAAATTTCTCCATTTTATCCTTGACTCAAGAGATTCAGGCACTTTTCATTGTTCCACCAGGTTTAAAAAAGTACTTCATGTGAAGACAAAGTCCAAACAACGGATGTCACAAGGCTTTGGTTGTGGCTGTAAGAGGCTCACTATAGCTGATACCTCAGTCCAAGACACATTTTGAAAACCGCAAACAAGCAACCGTTGAAAATCAATACAATACTGTAGATAACAAATAATACAATTGCATTCGACAAAACGAATGAAGAAAAACACACCGTATAGAATCTCAAAATCTCAAGTAAATAAAAAAATTATGCACAATTTTAAAAAAAACAAAACATCTATAATACATACAGAAACAATAACACTGATTTAAATCCATGAAAACAATGGGGGAAAACACATTAAAAATAACTCAATCCAAAATTTCAAAGATGAGCCTAACCTTGAGAGAAGGGCACCCTTCTCCCGAGGTCAAACTGAAACTTGCTAGCTAAAGCACCAGTAAGTATATTTTACATATTTAGATACATGATATGACTGCACCAAGAACACATAACTAGCAATGCGTTTTGTATAAAGCTTTTATAATGAATAAAGTATAGTTGTTCTATCAGATGTTTGCTTGGTTTGTATTATAAAACAAAATCTTAAGAAATATACCCTGCACAAGACAATCATGTAAGATAATTAATAATTATACAGTACATAGCTATCAGCACAACAACATACTATGTTTCTCGTTTTTGAAGCATAGGATCAACATACAAGTCTACTTGTTCAATGCTCCAATGTCCAATCCTTTCTGACTGGATATCACAGAAATTCATTAAGTATGGCACAGTCACATGGCCAGGATTTGAGCGCATGCTCCAAATAAAATTTTTAGTTGGTATACCACAAAAGTAATCACTAAAATAGTCCCCCTTTTTCGTAGACATTTGATCAGTCAACCTCACACAAAGGGACCGCTAAGTAGAATTTTGGGGTTGGCAGTAATTGTTCAACCAAAAGTGTTTATCCAAGAAATTCATTTCAATTAAGTAACAGTATTAGTTCAAGTACTTTAAGAAATACCTGGTTTACCAAATCCTTCCTAAAAGACCTGATGATTAAGTAAAGATCTGCATCAGAAAATATATTGATATGGGATTAACATTGTGGTATAATAATTGACCCTGACTTCTACCCATACAGAAGAGAGATGCAATTAAACACTCCAGATAACACTCAACAATTCAAGGGATAGCTACCACAATTGCTCACATGATCCACTGTTCTCATGCCAGAATTTAAGTTGCCTCAAGAACAGTATAAAAGCAAACAGGATAGCGTTAGAAAGCAACAGTCTTAAGTGTGGGCCGCCTTTCGATGAGAGGGAAGACCTCTAAGTCCTCTTCAACCAATGACAAAAAGTGATCAAACACGACCTCTAGAAACTCGATAAAAGATCTTCCGGTCTCGTAGAGATGTGTTTGAACCTAAACGTCATCTGCCGTTGTCAGCCTCAATAAGAATCTGAAAGAAACATGATAATTCTATTAGAGACAGGAAAAATTATGGGGGCAGAAGAACCAACAGTAGCTTGAATAAATGTTTACCTCACTAAGAATGGCCCAGTTATCACTCTCTGAGTGAATATACAGACGGATGATAGAGATAGCACCGAGAGTGAAGTCAACAATTCCTTCACATACTCCCATCCCATCAAATTGGCCTGCAGATGCAAGAGCTTAGCTTCAGAAACTCTATTTCAAATGCCATGAAGAAAAAAACAAGGAAGACAAAGCAGGATTTACTTACCAACAACCACAAACCCATCATGAGTCACATTAAAGCCAAGGCCTGGGTCCAAACGTTTTGGTTTCATAGGCTTCACTTCAACTGAGGTGTTGTACAATCTGTCCGAGGGATGTTCCGCATTACCACTTCTAAACAAAAATCTAGGGGAAAAAAAAAAGGTTACAAAATAAATGATTGTACCAACATACATATCAATTGTGAAAAGCAGTAATACACACATCATGAAAAATTCAAAATTATTCACCTTTTAATGAATATTGGGGTATGAAAGCGGAAGGTCAGTGTATCCCCTGGCTGAGGTAAAAGGCCCCAGAAAAATGACTCTCCCATGTATGCTTTATGCAGTGTGTATTGCTTGTAGGGCTTGATGTCAGAGTCAACAACAGCAGGAGGGTTCCAGTGTGGGAAGAATAAGGACACTTTGCCAAACTGTTTATCCTGGTAGATAAAAAAAAGGTTTCATTTTAGTTCTAAAAATAATCACAACAAGTGTGCTAAAATATCAATTACTATTTTGGTCCTTACCTTGAGTTTTTGAACTTTTCCACGCAGTGAAGAATGAGTGCCTATGTGCTGGAATAGTGATGGTTTATATTGTATCCACAGTTCTGACTTGGCCTTCTTGCAGTGTTTCTGTGATAAAGAAGTAGAAGTACATTATAAATTATCAAAACATAATTTCCATTTTTATTTTCTCTATGAATGGTTAAGAATACTTACATGGTCTTTTTCTGGACTACAGACTTTGGTGAAAATAACGTGGTCTAACAGCCAGTCCACAGGCTTATCATTGTAGAACATCAGGAAAAACTGAACCAGCCACGGCAGTTCAACACATTTGAACATTTTCCCTGAAAAATCAGAACCCATGAGCTTACTGCTCCGTACACTCCAGCTAAAAACCTTCGGCGGATTTATGGATGAAAAAATCTTACCTATGAAACCCAATTGGCAGAACTCGAGAACGAACCAGGGTTCCCTCTGCGCCGACTTCTCCAGCGCGAAGTTCTTCATGGTCGAGATGAAGTTCTTCTTGGCCAGGATGTCGTCCTCCAGCTGCACGTAGAAGGTGCCCCGGGGCTGCGAGTACATCATGAGGAAGGCGAAGTCGAGGTTCTGCTTGGTGCGCCAGCGCACCCGCTCCATCGAGTCGCCCAGCGTGACGCGCAGGCTGTTGAGGTCCGGGTAGTACGAGGTGGGCGGCGAGATGAGCTCGATCAGCCCCGACTGCACCTCGTTGTCGAACTGGTCGCGGATCTGGGCGGCCACCTGCTTCACGTACTCCAACTCGGTCTGCGGGACAACAAGGACGCGTCACTTCGTCACAACGTCACGCGGCCGAGGAGGAATCTCATACCACGCCGCCGGCGTCGCAGCGTCGCACGCACCTCCGCGACGAACACCACGATGAGGGTGTCGTTGCTCTCCTCGGGGGTCATGGAGCTGACCAGGTTGTCGAGCGTGGCCAGGAGGTAGCTCTGCACCTGGCGCCGCACCGTGGGCACGCCCAGCACGATGGAGACGCCGCTGCGCCGCGCGCCGCACATGCAGAAGGCCGGGCGCAGCGTGCCCGCCGCGCCGCCGCCGAAGCCCGCGTCCAACAAGTGCGGCATGAAGTGGAACGCGTTGGGCAGCTGCAGCGGCTGGCTGGCGGGGTCGTCCAGGGTCAGGCGGAGCGCGCTCAGGTTGCGCACCAGCTGCTGGGCCTGCGGCAGGACCAAGCGAGGGCGGTCTAGCAGGAGGACTCAACAGACGTGTCTGGAGCACTAAGAAGGCACTCACCTCGACGCTGAGCGGGGACGACCTGTTGACGGTGGACACGAGCTGGCCGAGGTGCTGCGACAGCCCGCGCATGTCCGCGATGCGCGAGCGGTACAGCGCGTCAAGGTGCTGGGAGCGCGCCTGCAGCTCGGCCACCCGCCGCACCAGGGCCTGCTCCGAGCTGAGGTCCGGGCCCGAGACCAGCACCAGCATGCTGCACGACATGAAGGCGGCCAGCACCACGAGGCCCAGCAGGCCCTGGCGCCGCCGCAGCGACCCTATCCCTGCCAGCCCCATCATCCTTCACCCTGCAACAGAACAAGACAGAGGTCCTCGTCAGTGTCGCCGTCGCCCGCTCTGCCCCTCTCGCACGCATGGGCCGGCCCGTGCGTCTCGTCCTCGTCACGTCGCGCACTGCAGGGCATGGAAACACGCTACCGGCCGGCAACGCCAGGGCAACGCGTTCCAACGCCGGCAACGAGTTGAAGGGAAGGGCGAGGGGGTAAACACTTCAAGAAATCGTGTACAGACTACTCGGTATTACGCTGTATTGCGGGTGTATTACACGTGTATTACGGCCCTAAAATGCCCAAATTTGGCACATTTGACCCAAAAATGGTATTACGATCACGTGTATTACGCGTAATACACGGTTTTTGTGTACAGGGTATTACGCGAGTGGTTACCCCCTCGGGGAAGGGTTCCCACGGCAGCCTGTGGTGTCGGCGGTGTCGGCGGGGCGGCGCGGTGCGGGGCGAGCGCCTGCCCACTGACCTCTGGGCTCCGGCCGCTCCGGCGCAGAGGGCCAGGGCCTTCCCTGCCGCCTTCCCCTCGGCTACACAAGCCTCTACATGCACGGCCCGAGGCTCTCCCCAGGCCGGCCAGCGTTTACTGCGTAATCAATTTTCACACACTTAACCGCCTGGCGACTGCATACCGCGCGGCCGGCCGGCCAGCCCCGACAATGAGTATGTAGCCAACTTTACAAACAAGGCAGGCAGGCAGGCCGCACCTCCGTTAAGTGCTCGTCCCGTCTCACGGGCCCTTGCACGCGGAGGGCGCTCTGGGCTCTAGGTAGGCTGCCGAAGCCCCAGTACACTAATTAAAAGGCAATCGCCACCCGAGGGGCGTGGCGCCACCGCGGTCCGCACCCCTACAGCGCGTACACACACGCACACACACACACACACACACTGCAGGCGGCGGGGCGTAACACGGCCGGAAGTAATTAAGTCCACATCGGCGCGACAGCAGCACGTGCATGCCGCCCGGCCAGGCCGGCCAGGCCGCCGCACGGCTCCACTAATTTCTCATCTCGCCGCGCCGGTCGGGCGGCGGTGGCGGTCCGTAGTCCGGGACGTAGTCCGGGACGTAGTCCGGGACGTAGTCCGGGACGTAGTCCGGGGCGTCCCCGCCTCCGCCATCACTCGCAGGGGCCAGCCAGCCAGCCAGCCAGCCCGGGCCGGCTGGGCGCGGGCAGCTCATCAGCCCCGCGAGCCTCCAAAGGCCCGTCGCAAATTAACGCCGCAATTCCCTTGCCTTCCCTTCCCTTCCCGCGGTGTGTAGCGGAGCGCGGCCGAGCCGGGCGAACCGTCCAGCCGTCCGCGGCGCGGCCCGGCCCGAGCGGACTAATGCCCTCACATGTGACGCCCGCCTCGGCCCGCGCGGAGAGGACACTGCCAAAACGACGGACCTGCTGTCATGCCGGCCACCACGTCCTCCTCGCACTCATGGCAGTGCGAGAGAGACAGCGACGAAAAGCAGCGCCGCGGGGAGTCAACAGGGAAAAAGGCTCTAACTGCGAAGCGAGTGCCGTCCTTCCCTCGCAGTTGGGTCGTTTCTGTCTCAGGACGTGTGGCGCTGACGCTTGCAGGACGGGCCCCGCGGCGGTTCGGCCCGGCCGGCACCTCCACGACGAAGACGCCTCTGCACTGCTCTGCGCGCGCCGCGACGCCAGAGACCAGCGCCCGCATCGCCACCGCGCACGGAGTCGAGTCGAGTCACACATGACTGTGCGTTATCCAGCGACTTGTGTGAGTAGCACTCGCACCGGCCGCGCGGCGCGGCGCAGCGCGCGCCAACACGCTTCACGCCCACTTGCCCTAGCTCCCTCAGATCCCTCAGGCTGCTCGGCGGACTTCCCCCGGCCACCGGCGCCACTGCGTCAGCCGAGGCGGGCACGGCAAGCACGGCAAGCCCCGCTGCACATAAATGAAACATTTGGAGCGCGTGGAGCAAAGCGGCCAAAGCGGCCAAAGCGGGCGGAGCGGGGCGAAGAACGAAGCGAGCGGCGAGGGCCGCGCGGAATCCCACGCACGTGAGGCGGACACCCACCGCGGTGGCACCCTGCTCCTGTCTCTCTCGCACTCGTGGAGCGTGCCGCAGGGGTGCGAGGGAGACAGAGCGAGGAGTGCGTGCGGCCGGCGGAATCGCTGGGCAGAACGGAACGGGCATCGATTGGAGGGACCACCGACACGCTACGAGCGAAGGAAACGGGCGTGATTTGAGTGCGACTTACGAACGACACCAAAAAGGGGCCGTTTTGCCCTACTTGACGAAATTTACAACGAGTCCTGTACACTGTGCAACGACTGCACTGATAAGAGTAAGCAGTTGGCTCAAGCTAATCTCCGCTTTTCTTCCTGGTCGGGGACAAATGTGCGTGCGTACGGCAGAAACCGGCATGCGCGGCGCACGCAAGGCCCACTGGTCATGTTTTAGTTGTTTTTTTTTTAAGCAATGCCAGATAAAGAAAGCGCCCACCATGCGGAAACAGTCTAGTGGATTGAATTTACTGGCGTTAACGGTGAGTTATTACACCGAGGAGGGGGGGGGGCACGGGAGCGCCCAGCTCCACATTGATTCTGTCGTCGATCGACTGACTTCCATTCCAAGTCGAAAACAGTGGTCACCTATCACCCGTCTCCTCTCGTCACGAGTCTCTTCACCTGTCTAATCCTCGCACCAGCGGCACCAGCGGCACCAGCGGCACCAGCGGCACCAGCCGCACCAGCCCGTCAGAGGCGACTTGGCGACTCGATGTCCTAGGCGTCCGTGAAACACATGTTGAGCGCGGCCTGCGTGGCGCTGCGAGGCCTGACCGACGCGGTGTCCGGCGTGTCCCGGCGGGGGCGGCGTCCTATCAGCGGGGCCACGGCGGGGCGTCGATACTGGGCGAGGGTCTCCTTGTCCTGGCGACACTGGGCGGGCAGCCCGGCAGCGGCCGGCAGCCCGATAAGGGTTGTTATCCCTCCCCTCCAACTCACCCGACTCCCCGCGGGCGCCACGTCACCGCAGGTCCGGCAGGTGGGAGAAAGAGAGAGAGAGAGAGAGAGAGAGAGAGAGAGAGCGGCGCCAATCGAAGCCGAATGGAAGGTGTTGCCAATTATCACCGACGGCACTGGCGCTCGTCACGGGTGTCACGGGGACCAACCGACGACTACACGGCGCCTCCGCGTATTTTGCGTTTCTGTTTCGTGTTGTTTCTCACAAGCGAGGAGGCAGAAACTCACACAGAAATCTCCGCCGCGAGTCTTGCTGCGTTTATGCAAAAAGCTAACGAAGTGCGTGTAGTACACAATTACGAACGTGAAAATACGCTGTTATCGCGCCGAGCAGAAGTCGCTGCTCCCGGGGTTCGCTTCAGCAGGTTCAGCCCCACGCCGAGGCGCGCCGAGGAGAAGGAACACGCCCAAGACAACAACGAAGGAATCCCCGTCCCGGCCTGCACGCCAGCCCCGCCAGCCCCCCAGTCCCAGAGCTCGCAGTCAAGTGGGTCGATCTGATCTCGCTGCCCGGCCGGCCAGGCACCGCACCGCACAGCACCGCACAGCACCGGCCAGGCCGCAACCAATTTGCAGCCATTACTTGACGGAGTGTGGAATACTGGCGGTGCACTGCACTGTGTGAGTGTCTGTGTGCGCCGCATCGTGGCGGACTGGCGGTGGCTGGGTGTGCCACTGGTGCTACCGTACAATGCAGCGGCTTGGTGTGGTCGTTTGGCCTGGTCGACCTCGGCCGGCTACGCCTTGCTGCGCCTCGCGCCTCGCCCGCCGGTCGCTCCGTCTCTGTCGCGCCTCTAGGACGACGCCCCGCGAGTGCGAGAGAGACAGGGCGAGGAGGCAGTGTAGGTGTTCGAAACCAGCCTGCAGCGCCCTCTATAAACCTCGAGCGGGGGACAGCGCGCTGCAGCGCACCGGGAGGAGGAGCCACCTCTGGCCGCGTTGGTGGACTCGGGGCCGTCGGCACCGTCGGGACCCCTGGCCGGCCAAATCAGATAGCCTTCGCGAACAGGCCCTCCGGGGAGAGAAGGGAATCTTGGCCAATAATTTCAGCGGTAAAAAGCATGATTAAGCAGCCGGCCAGAGTGCTGGGCTCACAGGCCTGCCCGGCCCGGACAGCCCAGTCGATCGGGACCTCCGGCGAGGTGGGTACAGTGAGGTACGGCACGGCTCGGGCAGCGGGACCTCCCCGACCCCGGCCTGGGACACGGCGACCTAGCCGCCTAGGGCCGCCTAGGGCCGCCTAGGGCCCAGCGCGCCGACGGCCAGTCGACGGCCAGTCGACGGGCAGCCAAAGGCCGGCACGTCGGCACGTCGGAACACACGGCGCGCTTTCCTTTCCGGGACGACAAAGGCTTCCCTGCAGGCCTGCGGCACGGCACGGCGCGGCGCGGCACGGCCAGGGCAGCACCGCGCCAAACACCTGCTCAAGTTCACATCCAATTCGCAGACAGCACGCCGCGCCACGCCGAGCTTCGACCCATTTGCAGCGAGGGCCGCGCTGTGGTGCCAAACGGCAAGGCCTGGACAGCGGGACACCCTGCCTGGGCCGGGGAGGGAGGCACGGAAGGGCTGGCCGGGCCGGCAGGGCGAGGCATCCTTAAATTGCGTCACGAGGGGCCCAACGGGGAATGGGACACAGCGGCGGCGGGGCTCGGGGTCGCGATTCCAGAGATAAGCCCCATCCACGGCGACCTGGCTCCGGCCTTCATCGGCCCGGCCGCGATGCTTGGCGGCCAATAAGCTATTAGCGGGCAAACAAAGGACCGCCGTCCGTCCGGCCGGGCTGACCGCACAGCCGACCAGCCGGCGGGGCGGACATAGCCGCGCCCGTCAAGTCCCGTTCAGTGTCCATAGTCCCTGGTACGGGCCAAAACGAGAGACGAGCCCTCGACGCCCTCGAGCAGCTGGAGCTGGTCCTCGTCGACATCGACATCGTCGTCGCGGACCACACGCCGCAGCGGGCATGACTCGGCGCGGCGGCGCGGCGCTCGAGAGCCGAAAAAGAAACACGAGCAATGACGCAG